TCGAAACAAGAGTACATATTGTAAATAAGAATCACATCATGATTAGTAGAGGCCGATCTTTGATCAAGCGAGTAGGGTGCTCAATTCATGACATTCCCCTTTCGTACCTAAGTTCCTGAGCGGAGACACTCTTGGTGATGATAGATAAGTGGCCTTTGACACGAGTCCCGGGTTTCTTAAATTTTTCAAAAAATATTTAGGTGGCGACTCTGTATCTGGTAATGTAGTCCATTTTTGGCATTTTGATTCAAAATCAATTTTTCAAAGGATTTGCCGGATTTGGACTCATTAGTGTTTATGTATTTCACATTGCACTTGTGAAATTAGATTCTAGAGAGTCCGAACTGTGAGGTTAGTCGTATCCGAAAGAAATATGAAAAGTCAAGCCACACCTTTGCACTGTTTTTTGTGTTTTTCTTTTTTCTTTTTATTTGTTGATGTAACGTTTTCATCATTATCAACTAATATGCCACTACAAGAAAATGCAGAATTGGCGACTAAAATAAGTATTTTTGTCGCTGAAAGTAGTACAAATGGCGACTAAAATCAGTTTAGTCGCCAAACTTGAGCACTTTTGGCGACTAAAGCACTTTAGTCGCCGAATATAGGGCTTTTAGCGACTAAAAGTCAGTTTAGTCGCCGAATATAGGAGTTTTAGCGACTGAAAAAATTTTAGTAGCTAAAAGGCACGGTTTTTGGCGACTAAAAGCATTTAGTAGCTAAAAGGCACGGTTTTGGCGACCAAAAAATACTTTAGTCGCCGAATATAGGTGTTTTACCGACAAACAAATTTTTTGTAGCCAAAAGTAAAGGTTTTTGGCTACTAAAAAAAATTTAGTAGCTAAAAGTGGACAAATGGCGACTAAAACTGAGTTTAGTCGGCAAAAGTGGAGCTTTTGGCGACTAAAAATCAGTTTAGTCGCCGAAAGTTGTTTTTTTTGGGCGGAAATTCTGCATTTAGCGACAAAATTGCATTTAGTAGCCAAAAAGCATAGAATTGGCGACTAAAATTCATATTTAGTCGCCAAAAGTGCTCCCCTATTTTTTTTTAGTAAATACTTTATTTTTTTCGTAAAATATATTAAATAAAAATAATTATTTATATATATATATAAGTGGCCTTTGACACGAGTCCCGGGTTTTTTAAATTTTTCAAAAAATATTTACGTGGCGACTCTGTATCTGGTAATGTAGTCCATTTTTGGCATTTTGATTCAAAATCAATTTTCCAAAGGATTTGTCGGATTTGGACTCATTAGTGTTTATCTATTTCACATTGCACTTGTGAAATCAGATTCAGGAGAGTCCGAACTGTGGGGTTAGTCGTATCCAAAAGAAACATGAAAAGTCAAGCCACACCTTCGCACTGTTTTTTGTGTTTTTCTTTTTCTTTTTATTTGTTGATGTAATGTTTTCATCATTATCAATTAATATGCGTGTGTACAATTTAAATAACTAAAAAGAAAATAAAAAAATTCATTACACGTTGTGTTAATAAGTGGTAACGTAAGATTTTAGTTTCAAGTTTCACTCTCTTCTCTTCTCTCTTTTTAATTTTATTTTTTTATAAAAAAAATAGAGAAATGAGAATTCCACTTGATATAAAGAGGAGAAAATGCTTGAGGACAAACCCAACCTTTATTTTTATATATAATATAGAAGTATAGATAAATTTTCCATTTTGTCGATGTAAAAAAATAAAGTTCTTTGGAGAAATTACAAAAAAATTTAGAGTTTGATATTTATAACAAAATAACTTATAAATTTTTAACTTTATTAGTTTAAATCTTTATATTTTGATTTATTTTCAATTTAAACCATTATCATACTTTCGTTAAGTAAAATCAAAGGGAAAATGATATTATAGTCATTAAATTCAAAGTAAGTGTATCTAAAATGTCTAAAATACCATTTTTTGTTGAGTTTAACAATTAAAATATTTTTAATTAGTTTTATTTAACATAAATGTATCAATGGTTTAGATTGAAAATAAATAAAAATTTAATAATTCTATGAATACAAACACTTTTATTAAAAATTTTACTGAAAAGATTGATTGTCAAAAAAAAAAAAGTACTGATATTTGAAAATCAAATAATGTTTAAACACTTACTTATGTAGCATTGTTTGTAAAAACATTTATGTTTAAATTAATAAAATTAAAAATTTAAGATTTATTTTGTTATAAGGGTCAAACTTGTGTTTGGTAACGTTTACGTTTTTTGTTTATGTTTACAAAAATTTTATAAACTGATTTTTGTTTATTTTTAGAAAAACATAAATTATAAACGCGTTTGGTTTGAATAAAATGTTTAAAAGATTTTAAAAATATAAATTAAAAAATATGTTTGTTTAGGCTTAAAATATTTATATTTATTTTTTTATTATTATTTATGACAATGGGATCATACACATTATAATTGAAAAAAAATAATTAAAGAAATTAATTGAAAAAAAATTTATTTGAAAAAAAAATTATTTGAAAAAAAAAATAATTTTAAAAAAATTAATTGAAAAAAAAATTAATTGAAAAAAAATTTGTTAGTTAAATTTTTAAATTTCTATTTAAAAACCAACATAAATTCATTTTTTTAGTTTACTTTTTTCCCTCAAATTTATAAACTGACACAATCATTTATAAACCAAAAAAATTATCAAACAAGTTTTTATGATAACTTTTAAAATTTTTGTAAATATAAATTGAAAACTGAAACAAAATGGTTACCATAGTTTTTTTTTTTTTGTGTAATTGCCCCAAATTCTTTTATAACATGTGTAATATTGACATTTAATATGAATTAATTATTAGAATAAATATCCAATTAATGATTGCATTAAGTGGTTATAAATTTAGCATAATTTTATTCTCACTCTATTTGTTTTATGCGCATTGCTACACATAATTAGTTCACTAAATCATCCTTTGGGTTTTGTCCGTGATTGAATGTGGACCTACTTTTTGAGCGTGTTTGATTGATAGAATTAGAATATGAGATTGATATTATTAATTTGTAAGCTCAATAATCTTATATTTGTTTTGAAATTTTGTTTTAAAATTATTAAAGCAACGGATAATTAATCCGAAAAATTTATAAGATTATTAGTAATGGGATATGAGTGAGATTAATATATCTTGAGCTGAAAAATAAAATAAAAAAACTCTTTTATCCTTGACTAAAAATTAAAACACTTATTACTTTTATATAAATTTATATTTTAGAAGGCTTAAAATAATTTTTAAAAATTTAAAAATATTTTTTTGATATTTATTTTATCAAAATAGTTTATATATATATATATATTTTTTTTAAAAATAATTAAAAAGCAAACCAAACATGGCCTTTTTATTTTTCTTTTATTTATTTATTTATAATTTTTTTTCAAAACCACATTTATGAAGAAATTTTGATAAAATAAAGATTGTGAAGAAATATTGATAGAGGGTAAGATTGAAAAAGAAAATAAATATAGTTGTAATTCTACATTCATATATTTTTTTATCCAATATAAATTAAACAATGAACAAAGGGATAATTTCTCACTGCTGCATGGGGAAAAAAATCAAGTATATATCACACTCATAAATTTCTTATAGAACATTGAAGATGACAATAAAAAAAGAATATAGACTTGCATTTAGGCCTCGTTTGGGAACCCTCATTTTTAGTCAAAAAGTCAAAAAATTACTAAATTAACCAAAAAGCTAACAACCCATACCAAAAAGTTAAAGATTCTCTTTTCTTTCTACTTTTTGTACATCTTTTCGTAAAAAGTTAAAAAATCATCCCAAACATACTAGTTTTTTTTAGCTCATATTTTAACTAAATAGTCAAAAAATTACTAAATTAGTCTGTTCCCAAACGAGGCCTTAGTGTCCTCAATGATAATTTTACAAGAAAAGATATTAATGCTATAAAAAAAAACAATTATGTTAGTTAAATATCCATTCAGGTGTTTCGTAATTGGATCCTAAAATGATATTATTATCCCGTATGTTGAATAACACAGTGGGACAGACATAGCACAAAATGAAAATAAACTGACAAATACCAAGGGGTTTGTAACTAGCTAGGGTTATTCTGGAACTAAAAAGTGATTTGATGAATAAGTCATTACCCCCAAGAGATTGGCTAGATATGCTTCTAAAAAGGATAAGCTAGAGCAAATAATGAGGGTGTTTGTTTAGATTTTTTTGAACCAATTTATAACTTCTAAGTTTACAAAAGTTATTTTGGATTGTTTGATTAAATTTATTTCAAACAACTTTTAATTCTAACAGCTTATTTTAACTCAAAAAAGCTGATTATGAAAAGCTACTCGTTCTTTACTTCTGCTTATCAGCTTCTGCTGTGAACATGTTAATTTACAGTTATATTCTTGGATTTTTTTTATTATTATTTTTTTTAAAATACAAAAAGACTCAAATAGACTATAGATTATTATTATTATTATTATTATTATTATTATTATTATTATTATTATTATTATTATTATTTTGAGTAAATTACATTGACACCCCTTGAAGTTTGGTCCAATTATTACCCATCCTTACCCATCCCTTGACGTTTTTAAAATTACATTCTCACCCCTGTAGTTAATAGTCTCATTTCACAAACCCCCTGCTTATATAAAAAGTAAAAACTCCTAATAGAAAAACAGAGGAAATTCAATTTAAAAAAAAAAAGTAAAGGAAATGGGAAAAAAAAGAGAAAGTAAAGTAGAGCAAAAAAAGAGAGAGTACATGAGTTTAATGTCTTCATTCTGTCTAAATAATTACAATGACAGGGAGGTTAGTGTAATTTTTCAAACATCAGGGGATAATATGTATTAAACTCAAACCTCAGGGGTGTAAGTGTAATTTACCCTATTATTTTTTATGAGAAATGTAGACAAATAGTGAATAACAAAAGATTAAAATTAATTGAAAAAAGTACTTCACAACTTATTTAACAACATTACTCAGCAATTTAAATATATAATTCAACAGCTACACCAAACAGATTAACAATTTCTGATTAAAGTCATAATCTATAATCTATTAAGCTATAATCTATGCCGATCAAAAAAAAAAAAATCTATAATCTATAATCTGTTTTAATAGCTACACCAAACGGATCCATGTAGATAGATTAATTCTCCTTCCCTCAAGTGAATGTCCTGAGACAAGCAAAATTGGAATGATGATAAATTTAAATCTGAAAGTCAACAGATTTTCAATTTTATGTCTCTAGTTAGATCTTAGATATAACTAGATTCAACTCAAATTTAGACTACCAGTGATCGTCGGAAATAATCATTTTGTAGGTAATAAATAAAATTATATTGTTCTATTCACAATTATTTCTATTGAAGATGAACATTTATTGAATTCGTAGATATGGCATAAAAGCACTGTAGGGGTGGGTTCAAGAAAGGAGTTGGAAAATTCGAAGATCGAATTCTCTAGAATATGATGAGAGGCTTAGATTCTTCAATAATCTCAACTTAGGAACACAACAACAAAGGAGATGATGGAGATAAGAGATTGGGTGAAGAAGAAGGCAAAATGGCTAGAGAATAGAATAATGGCAAGGCTCTCCCATTGATCTCCCACTTTCACTCTCAAGGTTGATAATGGATAAGGGAAATTAGTTCTTTCCCAAGAGTTAAAAATCTCCAAAATCCATCCCTTGTAAAGCTATGGGTGGGTGCTATTTATAGGCACCTCATGATGTAGGATGGAGCCCATGTGCAAGGCACATGGGGGATATTCTCTCTAACCACTTTGTCCGAGGAGGTGACCTCTCCGAGGAGGTGACTTCTCCGAGGATGAGAAAACCCCGAAGAGGAGATCACTCCCTCGGCGAACCCTTCTTCTTAGCCACACCTAACCAATGATCCCCAATCATCCCAAAGGGTCAGGGGTAGTCCCAGAGGACGTCCTGCCGCAAAAATATTGCCGAGTCTCATGGACCCCCCGGGGTCGTGCCACCTCGACCCGGGTATAGGCTAGTTTAACCGAAGAGTGAATTTGTCTCCACTCACCGTCCTCGGGATCGGGTCCTTTGTTCGAACTCCATTACGCCCATGGTTCTGGTGCGTAGATCCCGGAAAGCTCCGAGCCCGCAAGTGTTCTGGGACTCATTAACGGAGCGACTTCTAGATTGCGTCTGAATCCGTTCGAAGCCAAGTATTTCGGACCTCTAGGTTCGTGGATCCGAACCCTTTCGAGTCCGAGTGCCTCGGATCTCTAGGCTCGCCTAATACCCTTTCGAGTCCGGGCCTGAGTAAGTCTCTAGGTTCGTGGATCCGAACCCTTTCGAGACTTAGAGCGATTCAATCCGTTTGATGGCGATAAATCTTGGCCCACCGATTCTTGGACTTGCGATAAATTCGGGCCCATTAATCTTGGACTATTGGGCCTAAATAATTTAGTGGGCTCAAATTAGCCCCTCTTACAAGCACTAAGTTAACTATCTTATCAGCTCAAAGGCCAAATGATTATAATGAGAAAATATATTCCTTTATTTCAATATGTAAGTGATTTCTGCATGAATTAAAAATGCACCTTCGATCTATATAGAACATTGAAAAAATTCATCAATTTCAATTGAAAAAAGAACAATACAACCACCTCGACAATAGATGAGAACCTTGTGGAAAGCTTTGGGTGAATGTAGTTTGGCCAAATTTCCATTGATAACTTGTTCAGCCACTCACAGTGCTCCAATGGTGTTCCTGGCTGTTTAAAGACACAAAAGGATGCAAATCAATTTGACGAAGCACAATTGAAATGTGATTGAAGAAAAGAAAACCCACCGACGTGTGTAGTATGACTTGCTTCCATTTTCTATTCCAATCCTCTACATGGATTTGTCGTTGATAACTACTATACTGCAGATGAAAAGAATGAAATTTTATGTCAGAGCATTTAAATATCTACCATAATAATCCTATCCTTTCATTCAATGATATCCAGATCATCTGGAAAAGAGAAAAGCAACAGAGATAAAAAGAAGAAATAAATAAACTCTATCATAGGCACATGAATTATTTATTTTCAAGCAATTTTCAAGAAACTTCGTTATAGGATTGATTCCAATGTCACAAGCAAAGCAAGAACAAGAACCTCAAAAAATCAGCTTACTGGTTTGGATTCAAGTAATTAATATTCAAAAGCTCTGCAAGATAGCTCCCAAATATTGCAAAAATGGCTAAGAAAGAATGTTCCGGACCTATTCCAAGATTAAGACCCATAATAAAAGCATTCATGTGAGGCAAAAAGCATATTTCAACGTGGAAACGTAATTAATTAGGGCTGACATGTTCCTGGATGTTGGCATATCTCTTACAATAGTAGTAAGATTCATGCTCAACTTGTAATATAGACTCAGATGATGTTGCTTTAATTAAAAACAAAAAATGAAACAAAACAAGAAAAGAAGAAATTACCAACTAACAGACTCATCAATGGTAAAATTTTGAAAACGTACAAATGCAGATTTGAATTAAGGGCATTCTGTGCTCTTTGAGAATTAAGTCAGTGTTGGGTCTACATGAAGAGCACCTGTCAACTCTTCTGACACATCGGCCCACCCACATGGATTGGACCAATACTTAATTATGGCTTTTATGTATATACTATTTAGGCTATGGAATTCGCTACTCATTGTCTTATGTTTTTGCATTTCCCTCAATGTTTTCAGGAAACACATTTTTTGGGTGATTTAGGAACTAATTACATTAACGTTGTGTTTGGTTGAGTGATTTAGAAAAGGATTTGGAAAGGGAAAGAAAAAGGGAAAGGGAAAGATAGTTCTCCCGTCTATGCAGTATGTACACATAGGGGCCCTCGCAATTGAGTAGCCTAGCCAAACCATATACGAACTAAATCGAGCAAATTGCACCAATGAAATCATACCTGCGATTTACACTTCACAGACAGCAAGTAAAAACAATGTCATAGAATACTGTAATGGGATACCTATTGTAGAGTTCTTTTTACAATAGCATAAGAATTGTGAAATCAGAAATAAAAACTTCCAATATTAACTTAATCAAGCAATACAATGAACTCTGTGTCTGCAAATGTATTCAGTTTTACAAGGCAAAAGATTTCTGCTTCCCCCCATCCACTTAATCTCCAATAACGCTGTTGAACCTCACTAAATGCCTGCACCTATTGCTGAACTTATATCTAGTGGAGCTCTATAACACCACAAAGTAGTTAGCACACAAGCTTCTGTCAAACGTGTCAAATATATAATAGTTGTGTTGTAAGGTATCTTGTATTTTTACTTTACACTTTATTTTACTGTGATGGGCCTTTTATGGAGCACGGAGACAGTATTGTTGGGGGTGGAGTTGAGAAGTTCTGAGCTTTGTAATCCTTATCATGCATAGTGGATTTGAGTGGTTTTTCTAACATGAAAATATGGCCTCTTGTATTGTAACCTCCATTTCTCCATTGAAAGAACTTCAGTTGGAAAAGTGCACCAAATTTTACGACAAGTATAAATCTATAATCTCCTTATTAAAGAGAAACAATGTTAAAGAGGTGAAAATTCAGTCAGAGCGACTCCTTGCAGACATTGAGCTCTAATGGATAAGAATGACCTCAGAATTACAAAAGGAAACTGAATCAGAAAAGTAACTTTTATAAGTTTCAACACATCACCTAATATTACTGAATTTGGCAAATCATGAGGAGAGAAAGAAAACAAAATATACGTATGCATAAAGATAATTAAAAGGTAGCTATGGAAGCAAGAGAGAGGAGCAGGAAACACACAACACACACACACACACAAAAAAGCAGACATCAAACTTGGAGTGCCCATCATAATGGCCTAATATTCATTAAGAGATTATAATTGCAAGAGTTTTGAATCAAAAATCAAACCAATCAAAAAGAAGAGGAAGAGAGAAGACCAAAAGCTCAAACCAACAATCAGACCAGTCTATATAAACTCAAAAAATCATGAGTACCAAATTCATAATATTATGAGGAAAGAAAGCAAACTAAAAATATGTGGGATTTAGCATATACATACACACATATAATTGAAGCGTAGATATGGAAGCAAGAGGAGTAGGGGAGAGAGAGAGAGAGAGAGAGAGAGAGACAGAGAGTAGACATCAAACTTGGAGTTGAAGTGGCCATCATAATGGCCTAATATTTATTACCAGATCATAATTGCAAGAGTATTGAATCAAAAATTAAATCAATCAAAAGAAGAAGGAAAAAAAGAAGAGAGTAAAATAGAAGAATGGTAAATCCAATTACCACACACCAACAATCAGACAAATTCACAATTTCAAAATGAGGGAAGATCATAATGTCATGAAATGAATAAAACACAACAAGAGGAACCCAATTGGAGAAAGAGAAAACCCATTTCTCAATAACCCAAACAATTAATATCAGAGGGAGTATGAAAAGTAGAAGAGGCTTTTCCACCAATAATTGGGTCGAAACCTCTGCACCTTTATCCAAATAAGAAACTATTTTCTTTCTTTTGTCCATTTCTGAAACAAGATTTCAAGTGAACCTCACTTCTTCACATAAAACTAAAACCCAGTTCTTAATTTAGATATTATGAAGATCAAAACAAAGCCCAGAACTTGATTTCCCTGAAGCTAAACAAGAAGAGAGTAAGTGGATTGTAGGGGGGTCAAATGCTTCAAATGGCCAAATGGGTAGCCAGAAAGAGTCTCTCTCTCTCTCTCTCTCTCTCCCTCCCTCCTCTCTCTTTCAGCGTCAAAATCAGAAGGCACCGTTAAAGACGAGGGGTGTTTGCTTGGATTTTTTTGAATCATTTTATAGTTTTTAATTTTGAAAAGTTATTTTGGTTTATTTAGTTAAATTTAATTTAAACAGTTTTTTATTCTAATAATTTATCTTAGCATAAAAAAATTGATTTTGAAAAGTTACTTAACCTTTATTTCTATTTATCAGCTTTTGTTGTGAACATATTAATTTACGGTTATACTCTTAATTTTTTAAAAATAAAAGTTAATTGAAAAAATTATTTCACAATTTATTTAATAAACACTACTCAGCAACTTAAATTTATATTCCAACAGGTACACCAAACAGATTAATAGTTTCTAATTAAAGTCACAATTTATAATCTGTTAAGTTATAATCTACAATCTGTTTTTATTGTGACACCCGAATTTTCTTTTTTTAAAATTCAAAATTTGCAATAAAAAGGACTCAAAAAAAATAAAAAAATTAATAAATAAATAAAATAATAATAATAATAATACATAAATAAATAAATAAATGCATAGTTTAGGAAATTAGAAATTTATCGATTAAATTGTTAAGGAAGTAAATTGTGAGGCACCACACACACGTTCAATATTTTAGAAAGTGGTAAGTGATGTTTTATAGTTTGGTAGTGAGGTTTTTAGACACGAACCTAACCTATAATCATACGAAATTTTTGAGATTATTGTGGATTACCAAAGAGGGTGACAACTCTTAGAATTATAAGAAGCCGACCTTAATCCTCTAGAGACATTAAATTAGATGACGCCAACCCTAATCTTCTAGAGCCATTGAATTAGATAAGGCCAACACTAATCTCTAGATGACCTTTGGTCAATTGGTGAGGTAAGAGTCAAGGGCCAGGTGGCGCTTTATGAGAACACAGAAATTAACTTAAGCTCTAAGAATTGATGCATATAAATAGGGCATTATAGTAGAAGTAAGGAAAGGAATCATGGAAAAGAGTAGAAAAAGAAATAACACGGGAGGTTCAGTAAAACGGGAAGAATAGGGATAAATTTATATTAAAGGTGAGTTTTGTTATACCTTGAGTTACTATTATATGTTTTCTATATGTCTTGAGTTATCATAATATATTTTATGAATGTTTTGAGTTACCACAATTCATTTTATATAATTTATGTTTATGGTTAAATTAATGTTTCAATTACGTGGATTATTTTTTGAACTCTATTTGCGTAAATTAAAACTCATGGACATGTTTGTTTAGAAAATATTTGACAATGATCTTGTAAACAATTATTTACTGTAAGTACCACTACAGGAGTCCCATGCCTCGGGAGACTTAAATAACCATTGGCCCCTGTTTGACCACCTTGTGTTCCCCTGTTTGTCATGGATCCATTGACCCCTGTTCTGATTGTCACTCTAGTGACCCCTGTTCTGTTCTGTTCTATTCTGTACTGTGGTTATAGTTATTTATTTCAGTTCTGCCACTTAATTAATTTATGTATTCAACTCAAATTATGTTAATGTTTTAGCCTAAATAACTATCAATGGCTATTTTGGCACCCCTCGGCTATGTGCTTATAGCTGTTATCCCTTTCAGGTGACGAAGTTTAGCGGGATCAAGATGGAGAATGAATCGCTGTGTTGTTTTTTTTTTATTTTTAAGATTTCTATCTGTTTTTTTTTTTTTTCCGAACTCTTGTAATACAATAAAGCTCAATTAACTATGTTTGTTTCATTTTATTAAACATTTGGTACCCAATTATTTTATTTTAATTTATTTAATTTAACCGCTTGCGCTACGACTACAAAATTATTTGAATTATTTTATGTTTATCTTATTACGACACCGAGCCTTTGGGTACCGAGTTTGAGTCATGACATTAACAGTTATACCAAATGGGCCAATGTTTGGTCCGTGATCGTCCGTTTTTTTATATGAAAAATATTAAAAATTATACTAAAATTTTTATCAAATATTTTATATTAGTGTGATGTAAATTTTACGAAAATTTCATATTTAGTAAAATATTTATTAAAAAGATTTCGTATAACTTTTAAATCTCTAACATTATTCTTAGCAGAACATAGCCACACAAGCTCTATCTTGTCTGGTCCCACCATGATCTTTTGCTTTTCCAAAAGAATTGCTTTGCAATAACTTTAAAAAAAAAAAACGCTAGTAAATATTAAGAGAAATTTTTCAAAATTCCAAAGTTTGACTTTTAAATTTTTACTTTTATTAATTTAAATTTAAAATTTAAAATTATTTTTAATCTAAACTAATTACATATTTTTATTAAGTAAAATATGATTAAATAAATAATATTTTACACTATCGTTAGGACCAATGTCTAAGTAAGCTATTAAACTCAATGATCTTAAATTTTTTTAAAATATTTTATATGCATATATATTGAGTTTGATAATTAAAATATTTTTTTTAATCAGTTTTATTTATGAGGGATGAGTTAGTGATTTAGATTGAAAATAAATTAAAATATTATAGTTTAAATTGATAAAATTAAAAACTCAAATTTATTTTATTATAATTCTCAAACTCAAATTAGTGATTTATTAGCCCAATCTTGCGTACTTTAAATTTATACCATACATCTCTTGTTGGGTTAATTTTAAGACAAAATTTCTTAGTTCATAGAATTTTCTTTTGTTTTTTGTTTTTGCATTTACGTTTCTTTCCTTTTTCTCTTTCTTTTTTTTTTTTTTTTGGGAAAAAAATCCAAACAGTGCACAACATGATAATGCAATAGTAATTTTGTGTGTGGATACCATTGAGCATGATATTTACCCTTCGAAGAGTGTTCGGTAATTATGAAAAGGCACTTTCTTATTTTTTTAACATTGTTATTAACCTTGACAATTTTCTAAATACCATAGCATTGCACACGTGTAAGATTAGTACGATTGCAAACTCTATCTAGATTCTGTTTAAACAATTTTGGAAAGTAGGAACAATTACATTATTATTTCCATTTATTGTTCCACTTCGAAACTTATATATAGTTGCATTATGGCACATATCTTTACACAATTTACAACACAAATACTTTCATCGTCCAATACAATATTTCACTCTCTCTCTTTCTATTTTTTGTTCAAATCAACATGGATACTCCTCTCCTCTCTCTCCCTCGCTCAGAACGAATGGTTCACCAAAATGTCTGTTTTATATAAAGAATTTTCCTAAAAAAATAAAGTACGTATCCACTGCAATGGATAAAGCTACGTCCATGCTCTTTGTTTGCCTAGTCAGATGATTTATTTCAACCATATAATAACACAACCTATTACTAAACTTTCCTTAAAGTTACGTAAACATCATAAAATTTCATTATATATTGCACGGTTTTCTCGAAAAAATCAGCTTTTTGGCAATTATTAAGTATATTTTGGACTAATCATAAAATGACATGTGTATTCCAAGTGTTATAAAATTAAGAAAATATATATTGAGCTTTTGAACCTCAAAGATACTACAATGTTTTTGCTTATATTATATAAATATAATTTTTACAGCTTATATTGTTTGAAAACACGTTGCATGGGTTAAGAAAGTAAAAAAACGCTGAAACGTGGAATTTGATAGGTTTTATTGATATTATTTTATCGTTATTATGGAAAAAACTTTTTGATAGATTTTATTGATATGGTTGTATTGTATTCAACATTATTATGGAAATTTCTTTTATTGGTCACATATGTTATTTTTTTATTTTATAATAATAGGCATTATTGAAATTATCAATAGAAGTTGAAACGTGGCAGTTTCCTTAATCTCATGTTTGATATGTAGTAATTTCTTTTCTTTTCTTTTTTTTAAAGATTAGAACATGTGTAGAGTATGAGTTGTAATTATAATCAATAGTGACGTAAGGTTAATTCCATCCAAATTAAAATTTCAAATTAAAAACAAAAAAAAATAAACTACACTAATATCTTTTGAAGTTTAAAAAATTATACAAAGTTCTACAAGTTTGATATAATTATATTATGGTAATTTAGGCTCTATTTGAATTTTTTTTTTTCAAAAAATAAGGGTGAATTTGTGGAGAAGAAAAAAAAGTGAAAAAAATACTTTTATTTTATGCACTTTTCTCTTGATTTTTTTTTCACTTTTGTATGGTATAATTCACATTTTAAATGAATTTGAACGTTAGATCGAATATTATGAGTGTTTGTCAATGCAAGAATTGCTCTTGATCTATTTGGCAATAAAATTGTTTTGTACTAAAAAAAAAATGTATATAAAATTTAAATTTACGGTGTATATTTTGATTTGATATAGTTAAGTCGCACATAAAATAAATCTAATTCATACATTTTAAATTATAGTCACTTCTGTGATTCTTTTTTTTGGATATACAGTATTCTTGATTTTACATATATGTGCTATCGCTTTGACAACACCAAGACTATATTTGAATCATAAAATTGTAGAGAAAAAAAGAAAAAGAGGAGAGAAATGTGTGGCCACGCTTGGTTTGTAGAAAGAAAAAAAAATCGTATATTTTTTTAAACACATAAAACTAGTTTGATTAAAAAAATATAAAAAATATATATATATTTTTAAATTTTAAAAAATTATTGCAGACTTTCCAAAAGATAAAATTATATAAAAATGATAAATACTTTTTATTTTTTTTATTTATTTTAGTAAATTAATTTTAAATTTTTTTAAAAAAATTATGAAACAAGTTTGTAGAAACAAAACCAAATACACAGTTAATCTACCATCTAAAAAAATAATAATAATAAGAACAACAATAATTTTAGGTAAAGCCCAATCTTGCGTACTTTAAATTTATACCATACATCTCTTCTTAGGTTAATTTTAAGACAAAATTTCTTAGTTCATAGAATTTTCTTTTGTTTTTTGTTTTTTGTTTTTGCATTTACGTTTCTTTCCTTTTTCTCTTTCTTTTTTTTTTTTTTTTGGAAAAAAATCCAAAAAATGTACAACATGAAAATGCAATAGTAATTTTGTGTGTGGATACCATTGAGCATGATATTTACCCATTCGAAGAGTGTTCGGTAATTATGAAAAGGCACTTTCTTATTTTTTTAACATTGTTATTAACCTTGACAATTTTCTAAATAGCATAGCATTGCACACGTGTAAGATTAGTACGATTGCAAACTCTATCTAGATTCTGTTTAAACAATTTTGGAAAGTAGGAACAATTACATTATTATTTCCATTTATTGTTCCACTTCGAAACTTATATATAGTTGCATTATGGCACATATCTTTACACAATTTACAACACAAATACTTTCATCGTCCAATACAATATTTCACTGTCTTTCTCTTTCTATTTTTTGTTCAAATCAGCATGGATACTCCTCTCCTCTCTCTCCCCCGCTCAGAACGAATGGTTCACCAAAATGTCTGTTTTACATATTTTTTCTATAAATTATTACGTGTTTTGAATATGTGCTTCGAGTAATTTTTTTTAAAAATTTTATGTACTTAATGTGTTATTGATTTAAATTATTGTGTTGTATTACATACATGTAGGGTTTTCGTCGTGCTATTTTTGTTACCATGGGCATTGTCGCTATGCTAGGATACACATATGACTGGATGGACTTCAAATTGACTAGAACAAGTTTGATGGGCTTCAAATTGACTAGAACAACAAGTTTAATAGATGTGTTAAATTTTGGAGCTATCGGAGATGGAATTGCTGATGATTCTCAGGTACACTATTTCATTCATGTATGTCCTTACATTAGTTTGCATGGTGATGCCATGCAGAGGAACCACACTCTACTAGGTGAGAATTTTTTTTTTATAAAATATATATATCAAGAAGTCAATATATGTAAAATAGTGGCACAAATTTAATCTATATGGAGTTGGTTATTTTTAGTAATTTTTAAATTTTTTGATTTTTTAAAAAGCTTTAAAAAAGAGGTTTGGGAAGTCTTTCAAAAAACCATTTTTTGTGAGAGAATTTTCTTTATGTATTATTTGACTTTTTTTTAACTGATGATAAAAAAATAAGTGACTTTAATCCAAGGATTAGATGAGTTAGTAAGATAACAGTTTGCTTAACCGAAAGTTCCGTATTCAAAACTTATACCACCTTGCTTATAGTCCTTGACTGAAATTGAGGGGTAAAGGGTGAGTTCCTCGACATCCTCCCCTTAGTTGGCTTGTAAGGTTGGTTCATAAATGGGCTAGGCCTTGGGAGTTCCTGGGTCATCAAAATTTACAATAAAATAAAAAAGTGACTTTTTGACATTTTATAACTCATCCTCAAACGTCCGCATAATTACATACGACCTTAAAAATACTTTGATAGGTATTTTATTAGGAATTTTTATTTATTTATTTTTTAATCATAGAATCAAATTTAGAATGCTTATACTAGAGATGAGATGGACTCACTTTGTAAGTGTTTTATTATTATTAATTTTTTTTGATTTTGATCAGAAAAATAAAATTCTATTTATGGCCATGACTGATGATGATGGATTTCGTGGTATACATTATACTTGTGCAATATATTTCAATTTTTGAATTGTTCGTTGAATGAAAAATATTTATTGATTATAAAAATTGATTAGCAGTTATGATAATATGTTTATTTCATTCAGGTAATATTTTTGAAAATCAAAATTTTGTGACAAAATTTTAAAAAACTGTTTTGAATTGTGTGTTTTACAAAATACAACAATGCTGTAATGTTCCATATGCCCACTCTAAGTGATTTAAATCATCTAGCTTGGAAAAAATAATTCTATATAGAACGTGCCTGGGTCATAGAGTTGGCTTTGGCGGTGTTGATTTTCAAATATTTTTTTAGTTTTTATTCTATTTTATGGATTAGTAACGTCTTAATTATGTTAATTTGCCAAAAACAAAAGGCATTTTTGAAGGCATGGAATGCAACTTGTGGATCAACATCGAACGGTCCTAGTATGATCATACCTGGAAACAAGACATTCTTGGTGAAGCAACCGGTCCGATTTGAAGGTCCATGCAAGTCCTCTTCCATCAATGTCCAGGTATTTATTTATTAAAACTCATGATTTTCATTTTGGTGAATTTGTGGAGAAGAAAAAAAAGTGAAAAAAATACTTTTATTTTATGCACTTTTCTCTTGATTTTTTTTCACTTTTGTATGGTATAATTCACATTTTAAATAAATTTGAACGTTAGATCGAATATTATGAGTGTTTGTCAATGCAAGAATTGCTCTTGATCTATTTGGCAATAAAATTGTTTTGCACTAAAAAAAAAAAATGTATATAAAATTTAAATTTACGGTGTATATTTTGATTTGATATGGTTAAATCACACATAAAATAAATCTAATTCATACATTATAAATTATAGTCACTTTTGTGATTCTTTTTTTTGGATATACAGTATTCTTGATTTTACGTATATGTGATATCGCTTTGACATCACCAAGACTATATTTGAATCATAAAATTGTAGAGAAAAAAAGAAAAAGAACAAGAAAAAGAGGAGAGACAATATAATGTGTATACTTTATATTGCAATTTTTTCTTGATATTTTTTTTCCCCTTATTTTTAAATCAATAGTAATAATTTTATATTACGTTTAGCAATTACGTTTTTAATAATTTTATTCTTTTTCCTTTTTTTAATAATTTTTTAAGATAAAGTTATTGGTAAAAACGTTACATTTTGATATTGAAAAGCTGGGGTGGGGTTTGGAATTGTCTATGGTGTTTAAAAAAAATACAGTTTTTAGATCTTTCAAAATTAAAAGTACTTGAAATTTTAAAAATAATAATAATAATAATAACTTTAAAATTTTTACCAAAAGTAAAAGATAAAAAATAACCTTTAAGCACTTGCCAAAGATGATGTGTCTTGTTAAAAAAGCAACTCTTTTATTTTTTTTAATCTTGTCATCTAAATTAGCATATTTTTTAGTAACGATTTCTTGTCCAAACATGCAATTTTTTTTTTTCACGTTTGGTTTAAATAGACGAAAAAAAAACTTTTTTTTTTGATAGCAACCAAACAGAGACACACTGCAAGCAAGTTCCACGTTTATTGTGTTTGTGTGATTTATTTTTGCATTAATATTCTTTTTTTTAATAACTTTAAAATACCCAACAATTTTGCTGTGATTATAATGCAATTTTCTTCTTTTTTTGTCATTGATGAAATACAGGTTTGGGGTGACATTAAAGCACCAGACATGATGAATTTTGGTGATATAAACTCTCATACTTGGCTTGTTTTCTCAAATGTTGATGGGCTTATTGTCAGTGGAACTGGGCAAATTGATGGCACTGGAAAATCTTGGTGGGATTCCTGTCCAACGGTGGGTTCTATTTGGATGTGAGAAAAAAACAAAATAATAAATAATAATAATAATAATTGGAGTTTTTCATCTTGGTTAGAAAATTTAAAAAAAAAAATTATTGCAATTTCTCACTTTTTATTTGGATGGACAATGATTAAAAGAGGAGGATACATGTGTTTTTTAAAAAAAAAAAAATAATAATTTCCTCTATGTTTAGGGTGTTTGTTTAGGTATTATAATTTTTTTTGTAAAGAGTAATTTTAGTTTTTCAATAAATCTTACAACTTTTGGTGAAAAATAAGACTTACGTGTGGAGTTATTTGTTTTTCTCACCAATTTTCTTTCTTTCTTGTAATTACTCACCTTATTAATCATACAAACAAGGGGTGATAAAAAAATCTCATTCTCTTTGAATCTTTTCTTTTCCCACCAAACCCTCAATCCAAATAGAGTGTTACTTATTAATCTCATCTAATCCTAATTAAACTTATGCATAGCATGAGATTATCTATATGTCTCAAATCCCCGTTCCTTTGTTCTAAAACATTCAAAATTGTTTGGATTATGCTCGATATTTCAATAATTATCTCACGTTTAATTTTACCGTATCATTCTTATATAAATTTTTATATAGAATTTTTATTTGTACATCATTACTCATTTGAAAAATTTCTTACATATGTTCTCAATTTTCATCTGCAGGGAATAGATTGCAAGACGAGGCCTGCTGTAAGCAAAAATTTCTATTTTTACTCTCGGGCAATTTATATTGTTTATTGGCTCATACTCATCAAAGCATGCTTATTTAAAAAAAAATTATATAAATTTTTATATAGAATTTTTATTTGTATATCATTACTCATTTGAAAATTTTCTTACATATGTTCTCAATTTTCATCTGCAGGGAATAGATTGCAAGACGAGGCCTGCTGTAAGCAAAAATTTCTATTTTTACTCTCGGGCAATTTATATTGTTTATTGGCTCATACTCATCAAAGCATGCTTATTTAAAAAAAAATTAATTAATTTTTTTTATGATCCTAAACCCAATATATATTTTTTTTTTGAAACAATATTAAAAATTCTCTTTGAGTTTAAGAAAATACTACATGGTGGATATCTTGAAAAATCAGAGTAAATTGTTATAAGCAAGTATTAGAAGCACATATTGTTCTTAAATTAAAGATGTTTGAGCTCAAACAATTACAATTTTCATTGCCAGGCTTTGACATTCAATCGGTGTAACAACCTTCAGCTAAGTGGATTGAGGCATGTTGATAGCGCAAATAACCACATTTCGATTACCAATTGCGCAATTGTCACCATCTCAAATATTCATATAACTGCACCTGAAACTAGCCCTAACACCGATGGCATTGACATCAGCAATTCCAACCGTATTGTGATTCACGATTCTTACATTGGAACAGGTATTTTATTTTTTAAAAACTTTTTATTTGGCCTTTTTAGCAGTTTTCCTTCATTTGATGTTTGTTGCTTAGTACATATTTACTTGTATGAATTTTATCAAAAAAAAATTTGCAATAATTGTAGGTGACGACTGCATTGCTATGATTAATGGCTGCAAATATATCAACATTACTGGCGTAAATTGCGGTCCAGGCCATGGAATAAGGTCAAAATTCTCATTAAAATGAATTTTATTTACAAAATTGCTTCCACTACATAATTTTACGAAAAAATTATGCATAAACTTTCATAAGAATAATAAATTTAAGTTCCAACGAGTTACTTTTTGAAAAAATAAATATATTTCTTTTCTTTTGTTTGTTAGCATTGGAAGCTTGGGAAAAAATGGAAGTAGAGCTACAGTGGAAGAACTACATGTGAAGAACTGTACCTTTAATGGAACTCAAAATGGGGCAAGGATCAAGACATGGCAAGTAAGAAACTCAAACCAAGTTTAGAAATTAATTTAATCTGACTTTATTTGCCTTAATTATATATTCTTTTCACTATTCATTTTCTCAAATTCATATGTTTATTTTTTGTGTGTTTTTTAGGGCGGGTCCGGATATGCTAAGATAATTTCTTTTGTTGACATTATACTTATTGAAACAAGCAACCCTATATTGATCGACCAGTATTATTGTCCACACAACACTTGCAAAGATCAAGTAAGAGTATATACCTTGGATTAGTATATACATTATTATCAATATCTTATATCGTTATGTACATTTGTTGTTGTCGTTGTTGTTGTTGTTTATCATTTTTTTTTTTAATTTACTAATGATGAAATTGATATTTGTTTAAAAAAACTTTGATGACAGACATCAGCAGTAGGAATCAGCAATGTTTCATTTACTGGATTTCGTGGAACAACTAATACAATAGATGCAATCCAACTCAGTTGCAGTAAAAACGTACCTTGTACCGACATTGAATTGAATCAGATCAACATAATGCCAGCGTCTGATATGAAGCCGGGAACAATTCTTCAATCCACTTGCATCAATGCCCATGGAACATCTAACACATCCAATAACCCTAAAGTGAACTGTTTACTTTAGTAGCTTGACTATGATGTTATGAAGTATTAATATTATAGTATATATTGTTATCATCATGGATAAGTAGGCAGATTAACATGGATCAGTTTAGTGGTTTTTTATTTATTTATTTATATATTTAATAAAACATCCATTTATATATTCTGAGATGTTTTTGGGCTTCTAATTTGTCATTTGCAAATTTTTTTTTTCTTCTGTAAAATGCTTGTGTTTAAGATAGATTTGTTTATCATTCAAACCAATTCCAAAAGAGTTTTAAATTGACCTAATGACAAACAGAGCTCAGGTAACTTGGCTTTTTAAGTGCATGAAAAATTATCGTACTAAGTATAGTATGTTGTTCAAGTTTAGTTTAGAAACCTAATGAACACGAAAATATGTTGAACATTAACACATTTATGTAATGAGTAGATGTAAAACAAAATATTGAAGCCAAACTCAAATAGTTTAGTTCGTTTTACATCATAATAAAGAGAGACCGTTGTGTTCAATAAAATTTGCTTTCGTCTTGCTTGAATATGCACAGGATCTGAAAGAATGTTTAAGAATCAATATCTACATTGCAGTTTTAAAATTTATCAATTCACAACAAATAATACAGAACTACCTATTGTGAGAATGAAACGAGAAAAATAAAAACCTAGAGAGGTGGAGAACTCGCTACACTTCACATCAATCGATGACTGCAACTACTAAAACAAATAAATTAAATAAATGAAGTTCAATATGTGCAAAGAAAATGTTGGGCGCCTACATTGAAAAATTAACATGGACACTCTTGGAATTATTGTGCCAAAAAGACTGATATCAACTGATTAACACATTGTCAAAAGGTCTAAACAAATCTCAATGTCTATGAATCTAATCTTAATACAATACATCTAAAAGATGGATTAAAGTTATGCTAATATCATCCAATTTCATTTTTTCACTTTTATATGCATACTAGTGGTGGTGCATTTGCTTTGAACGTGATAATTTTTCTTTTTCTTTTTCTTTTTGTGTGATTTTTTTTTTTTTTTTTTTTGATAAATAATGCCTTTCATTGTGAATGTGACATTTGATATTTGAGGTTTTTATTATTTTTTTTGTTAATGTTTAATATTTATGTTTAAAAGTCTAAAAAACTCAAAGTATTTGAATCTTTGAATATTTGATCATTGATATATTTTTACACTTTTAGATAGTGCTTAGTTAAATAAAATAATTGTAGAAGTAATTAATATTATTAGACAATACAAATATAATAAATATATTTTTTTTATAATTGGATTCCATGTCCTTCATATGTAGAATTTTTTTGTAAATTCAAGAAAATAATGTATCAATTCCTACATATAAGGGGGCATTTATATTTATGTTTAAGAATTAAAATACTAACGGTTAGGACTGGACATAGGGTTATCTGAACCGTACAACGCGCCCAACTCGAACTGATCTGCATACAAATGAACGATTTCACGGACACAATGTGGCGGATGTGGTTTAGAATATGGTATTATTGCGGGTTCCGATAAGGTTGCCAGTTTTACCTACACCTGCAAAAACCCGCCTGCACTTAGACTCTTTTATTTTATTTTACTTTATTTTAATTTTTAAAAACTTAGACCATGGATTTCATTTATCCTATCCTAAATATTTTTGAATTTTGAATGATTTTATTTTAATTGTATTATTGGGTAGTGAATGATTTTGATAATTTAGTTTAGGATTTTGAAAATTTTGCTTGTGTTAGTTTATAATTTTATTTAACAATTTAGAATTTTGAATAATTTGTTTGTGTTAGGAATCGATTTTGTTGTGTTTTTAATTTTAGAAGTTTTAATTCAGTAATTATTAATGTTGAGCATTTTAGAAAATGGGGGAAAAATTGTCCAAAATAAATATTTACAAAACGGGAAAAAAAAATGCCCAAAAATAGATTTTTAAAGAAAAAAGTTTAATCGACAAACTACTCGCAACCGCCTGCACATCTGCGAACCTTATCTGCACAAACTGCAACCTGCATTGCTGGCCGTTGCAGGTTCAATTTTTCCCAAACCGCACATATGCGGGCGAGTCCAAATCGCAAACTGAACCGTGAGCACCCTTACTAACGGCATTATCAATTGGACAAAAATTGAGTCAATTAAAAGTGTATGAACCAAAATGACAAAAAAATATAAAATACAAAGACTATTGGTATAACTTACACTTTAATTTTTTTTTATTATCCTGCCATTAATATTATGTAATGTTACAATATTTGTTTGGCGCTGTTTGGGATTCCGAAAATTAGGCTATTATAGCCTCATTTGATTTTTTAGCCCAAAAGCAACACTGTGCATGGATTTTCAAAAAAAAAAAAAAAAAAGAAAAAAGAAAATAGGCTGCTGCTGGACAGTGTAGGCCGGATAGTGTTGCAGCAAGGGCGAAATTACCATTTTGCCTCTTTATATCAATTTTAAAAAATAAAAAGTTAGGGATAAATCTGTCATTTTAAATTTAAACATCATTTCAACACACTTTTCAATACAATAACTCAACTAAAAAATCATCTCATCTTCCCAAACACAAAAACTAAAATAGGACCCAATCATAAAAATTTTGAGGCATACAAAGAGACCCAATCATACAAAAATATTTCAGAGACCTAATCATTTATCATTTTCAGGACATAGTGAAAATATTTCAGACCCTAACTGTTAAATATTTCAGAGACCCAATCATACAAAGAGACACACATAAAAAATTTGAACCGAGAAACACAGATCTACCTTGCATTTGATCAAACAGTGCCCTCGAATCTCATGAGTGATACCGATCTCTTTCTCGCTGGTTGCACTACCTTGTATTTGATCAAACAGTGCACTCAAATCTCAACCAAGTAGCCATAAAACCAAGAACGGAGAGTGGGTAGAAGAGAGAGAGAGAGAGAGAGAGAGAGAACCAGAGAGAGAACCAGAGAGAAGAGATTAAAATTTGAAAACCAGAGAGAAGAGAGAGAGAGAGGAGGACGACTGTGAGAGAGAGATAGGGAAGTGTGTTTGGTGCTCGTTGGGAGGAATCCAAAGAGGCTGATTATGCTAGATTTTGATTTTGTCCCTTGGATTTTGATTAAGATTGATCTGAACCGTTGGTCATAAATGTATCTCTATGACAATTTCTTGCCACATAGGACATTTTTAAAAAATCTTCTCCCTTATTATATAGATTATAAAATTTGAGGAAATGATACTTATTTTAGTAATATATTTTTGACAATTATTAAGTATATTTTGGACTAATCATAAAATGACGTGTATTCCAATTGTTATAAAATTAAGAAAATGTGGGGATGTATTTTCTGAATACTAACACGTGGCATGGTGACGCCGACGTGTCAGACGAGGTGCCACGTGTCCTGATAGTTAAGCCGAGATAATCTCGGATAAGCCGAGGTTATCTCCGAAGATATCGGAATCCGAGATAAGGGACAAGAGTCCTAAGACGAAGAGGGGACTTAACCAAGATAAGGATAAAGCTCTTAGGGAACTTATCTTTATCTCTTAAAGAGTCCAGAGTAAGCACTAAATTAGAGGACATAGAAGTCATACTTCTAGTGGGACTTGGATTGAGTATATTATAAAAGAGAGGCACCCCCGTGGGTCTAAGGTATGCAATTTATGCTTTGAGTATTCAGTTTAGCACTTGATTTATCTTTGAGAGATATACTGACTTGATCGTCGGAGTGCTCCCGGGTGGAAGAACCACCGCCGGAGCTTTTTCTTTCTGTTACAGGTTGCTAAAGTCATCTATTCTGCCTGTGCTCTCCAGCTGGTCACTAAACGGGCAGTGTGGTCAGATTTTTACCCACACAATTTGGCGCCGTCTGTGGGAACGAAGGAAGAATAGATGGCCAGTAACGGACAACAGGAAAAAACTGGGAACGACGCTCCCACTGGGAGTGGCAGACCAATTGATCTTGACATTGAAGGAGACAACCACAATACAGAAGCCCATGACCAGGGTCACAGAGAGAACGACGTCATCCCAGAAGACGACACGTCAAAAAAGACAAACCAAGGAAAGTACTACAATGAAGATAAATTAAATTCAATAATTATATTATATTAAATTCAAAAAAATATATTAAATTGTATTATGTTAGATAGACAAAAGGGTAAATTGGACTTTTTACATCATATCCCAACCAAGGGGATATGATATAATGGGGAGGGGGTGGTATTGTATATCCTCCACTTTTGGGAGATATACAATCCCACCGGATATTATATCCCCTTCAAAAAAAAATTACAAACATGGGATATATGGACCCCACTGGATATAATATTCAATCCCAATCTTCATATCCCCTAATCAAACAGGGCCATAATTTTTTTGCTTATATTATATAACAATAATTATAAATATAATATATTATATAAATATAATTTTTATAGCTTATATTGTTTGAAAACACCTTGCATGGTTTAAGAAAGTAAAAAAACGCTGAATTCTTTTTTTTTTTTTTTTTTGGATATACAGTAAATCAAAGTAAAGGAATGAAGCATGGTTATAACAGTAATAAAATAATATTTAATTTTATGCATATATGTTGTAATATTGCGCAACATCCAGTAAAACACTGAATGAATAAATAATTCAACAAATTTCAGTAAAAAATTACCATGATTGATAATAAGTTCATGCAAAAAAAAAAAAAAAGACCAGTAAAATTTCATTAAGATCACCATAAAAAATTCCAATATTTTTGTAATATTAAAATATGTAATAAACCTTAAATAAATAATTCAACAAAATCTAGCCAAAATTCCTATATTCCAAATCTAGTAAGTAATGATATTTAACAATCCAATAAATAACAATATTTGATTTAAAATATAGAAAAACCCTAAAAATTTCCAAACCCTCAAAATTAATTAAAAATTACCCAAAAATTTCTTCATTTGCAAATACAAACATACTTATTGAATATTTTTTTCCACAAACTTTAACCTTGCCGTATCGCACAGCAGAGAGACTGTTATGGTTAAAACCGATACAACTTTAGTGGTACATTTTGTTAGTTTTGATTGTTTACTAATTAAATGGCACAATTTGAATGGTTATTTATTCACTTTATTCGTTACTTGTAGTGAATAAAAAATAAATTATTATATTCTTATAATATAAAAAAATGCAAAAGTCAAATGATAACATTTTAATTCCCAACTCATGTAAATTCTCAAAAACAAAATAAAAATGTGCTTTTAAATATTTTTCTTTTCAAAAGTTCATGATGATTTTATTTTAAATATAATTTTTATTTTTTTGGTGAATCAAATGTGAAAACAGACATTATGATAGAATGATCACTTTATTCTATTTCATTCGAGTGAATCAAACATATAGTATAAAATGGTTGTGACACATTTATCAATATGTTACACAACGTAAAAAATAAATTTAGAAAATTTAAAATCAAGTAATTTAATATTAGGGTTGGATTTCTCTCAAGTTGGTACGTATATGAACTTGACCGTTATCAACTTGTCATATTCAGACTTGTAGGGACTACCATGATTTATTTTCAAATACATACTTGTAATTTTATTTATTTATTTATTTTTGAGATAAACACGATAAATTGAAAAATGTTACAATTATTAAATAAAACTTCACGAAAGGAATGATTTTAATAATTGAAATGGAACTTGTGAAACAACTTATGTACAATGATAATTATAATAATATATATATATATATTTTTATTCTTTATAAATAATGCACAAAATTCATAAACTGAGTGTAAATAAAATAATTTAAAAACCAAAAAATAATGATAAACAATCAAAATTGTGTCATTTAATTAATGGTTAATCAAAATTAACGAAATTGTGCCTACTCCGTGTTTAAAAAAAAAAACAAATTAAAAAAAGAAATATAAAAAATGTACAGGTTAAGATTTTTGTCCTTTCACAATGCGATTGAGAGATACTATGATAATTTTAATAAGCAAGTTAACGTCGTTTGGTACCTTTTAACGAGAGGGCGGAATGTTGATATTATTTTGAAAAGTAAAAAAAGTTACTATAATTGTTGAAATTATAGGAGATGTATATGTAATTATTTGAAACCTCAGGGAGATAAGTGTAATTTATCCAAATTATATATATACATTATAAATGTTTTTTTCTTGAAATTCCCCCTAAAATTAATGGATGATAATCAAACGAACTAACTGTACGATCCGAACCGGACATAGCTCTCAAGCATCTGTGCCGAACAACCTGAACCGGACATAGCTCTCAAGCATCTGTGCCGAACAACCTGAAAATCCCAATCGCTCTCTCTCTCTTGCTCTTGCTCTCTCTCTCTCTCTGTGCAGCTAATCGCCATGGCCCTTCTGCTTCGAAACTCGCCTCGAATCGCATCACAGAGGGCTGCGACGATCCACACTACCCTGCCGTCGCTGGCGGCTCAGCCGTCGCATCCCACGCCCTACGCCCCTCCGTCGCCGCCTTCGACGACGTCTCCGGCGGGGATGTCGAAGGCGGCGGAGTTTGTGATCTCGAAGGTGGACGATCTGATGAACTGGGCACGCCGCGGCTCCATCTGGCCCATGACCTTCGGCCTCGCTTGCTGCGCCGTGGAAATGATGCACACCGGAGCTGCTCGCTACGACTTGGATCGCTTCGGCGTTATCTTCAGGCCTAGCCCTAGGCAGTCCGATTGTATGATCGTCGCTGGCACTCTCACCAATAAGATGGCCCCCGCTCTCCGCAAGTACTCTCTCTCTCTCTCTCTCTCTTCATAACCTATCTATGTATGCATATTCGTGATTGTGTATATATATGTTTGAATTGTGTATAATTTAGGGACTTGGGGGTGGTTGAATTTTGCTTAGGGCTTTTAGGGCTGCCTAAGAGCACCTCCAATCCTTGCTCTCTTTTTCTTTTTCTTTTTCATCGAATTTGAGTGAAAATTTGGTTAAAAGAATGATTTGGTTGATGTGTAACACTCCAATCCTTGCTGTCTATTTTTTTATCAAATATTTTTGAAAAAATTTCAACTTTTTTTAATTTTTTTTATTATTATAATGAAAGAAGCAATCTGCAATCCTTGCACTTTTTAAAATTTCATCAAATTTAGTTAATGATTTAATTCATCATTGAGTTGATGAAAAAAATTTCTGCCTCTATTGATTTGATACAGATTTGATGAAATGGTTGGAACACATCTTTAGCCATTTTTTCATCAAATTTTAATTTGATGAAGGATTGGAGAGGATAAATGTACATGTTTAGGTACATAGACTTTGTTAATGGCCAGTTCTGAATATATTTTCTCCCTGACTGAGTGCGATTTTGGGGTGTTGTAATTGTTGGATTGGTTTTATTTTCTCTTTACCATCTGCCTGGAATTTAAAGGTTTTTTAATTTATTTTGTTGGATATTGAGGGTTTTTGAGCCAATTAGAAAATTTGCGTTGATCATGTATTTGCGTTATGGAATTTTGTCAAGTATTGTAATGTCATAGATTTCTTCAGCAATGGTATTTTAATATCCTCTATCACATGTCTTCATACTCATCTTTCAGTAAGGTTGAAATTCTTACTTCTTGTGATGTATCAAGAATTAAGTCAATACATTTGGTTTTGGAGGTTGTGAGTGGGTTTGGATTTCTTTGCTCAAGCGTGATTGTGTATTAATTTACCTTAGGATAAAAGGGAGAAACTTGGTGCCAGTTTTATAAGTTTTTGTCATTCCTCCGAGAGTAAGGCCCTTTTGGGGCTAGTGTGAGGGTTTGGCTTTTTTTTTAAGGATTCCCAAGTCTTAGCCCCACTTCCTTATTCATAAATCACATTTGTATCATACTTTCAAGAGAGCATACAACATATGAAAAAAATGGACTAGCATTTAAAACAAACTTGTTGAGGGTTTCAAAGAAACAAATCACACTTCAAATCTTGAAGTAAGTTCATGAGAATATAATCATGCTTTGAAAATGATAACTAGAGTTATGCAAGGTAAACTTTGGAAAACACTTTTATAACTTTTGAAAACCTTAAATGCTACCCATATATCATGGGCACACTATACTAAAGTATTTAAGTCCCCTACCCAAGGTTTTAAAAAGCGGCCACAACCGTTACGTAACGCCGTTACGTACTAATTTTGGTGGTTACCGCCACCCGTTACGGCCGCTTTTGCAGTGTGATTGAGATTCACAGGTGTATCGGCTGTAGTGGCTATTATAGCGGTCGTAACGGTGCCGTAACAGCCGTAATGGCCTGTTACGCACCGTTACGTAACGGTTCCGTACTGTTTCTTTCGAAAAAACACAAAAAAAAAGGTTGAAAATGGGGGAAAGAGGGATAGAAAGAAGATGGAGGAGCAAAAGATAGAGAGAGAAGAGAAGAGGGAAGATGGAGAATATGTTATTGATTTATTGAAACTGTAAGACCTATGCTATTCTATTCAGCTGCTATCACTCAACTATTTTGTTTCTGTGCGCCTGTCTATATATTGTTTAAAAATAATAATAATAATAATAAATGTAGTCATTATCTATTTGGCTTGGTTAAAATATGTATATATATAAATTTATGCTCTTATTTATTCTCTTATTTTTGTCATTGTTTATCTTATATATAATAGTTAGTGATTGACTTTTTGTATAATATAAAGTCATTAATTATTAAAATAAAGTGTAAAAAACTCAATTGATAGTGATTTAAAAATATGAAATATATTGGATCATACTTAAAAATTTACAAAAATTTATCAATATTTATTTTAAACCTAATAAATATGACCATGGAAAAAAAATATGCGTATCGAAATTTTTTTTTCAAATTGTGCAAAAAATAAAAAATTTCACGATTCCGGTTACCACAACCGTTACGCTACGGCCTTTACACCGCGCAACCACAACCGTGCAACCGCGCCACCGCTACCGTTACGGCGACCGCAACTGCTTTTCAAAACCTTGCCCCTACCTTAAAAATCCTTCAAGCAAGAATGAAATAGCTAGACAAACTGTTCTTAAAGCTTGAAGTCTTCCTCCTCCAGTACACTTGAATTCTTTCAAAGAGATGAAGGGAACATAATAGGTAACTGAAAGAGATAACATGGCTTGAATAGTGAAGAACTATTGAAGGGAGAGTGCCTTGGAGACCTACTAGCCATTCCCAAGTTCACTATCCTGCCTTGCTTTTATAACCATGCAAAATCAGGTCATTTTGACTTCAAATTAACCTTTCGGGGAATATTTGTTGTCATGATGTTGATTACTTGATTTTTGTTAAATTGTACAACCAGCAGAAGGTGCTATTATGAACCTATCTGAAACTGAGATGACACTTTAAGTGCCCCCTCTTGTGGGATAGTAACCTTTTAAAACAATCAGTCTTGTGTGTGCTATATTTGGCAGCAGTGATCTTTTGGATAATAGATTGTCAATTTAACTTTGGCGTTTGTCAGTTTTGTTTAAACTTTTAGTGCTGAGAGGAACAAAAACATGTATGGAAAAGATAATTGGGTTCAGTAATAGCTTGGCTTGATGTGGCTTTATAGTTTATATATATATAACGTAATATATTATCGGGACTATTGCATAGTCTTAAAAAATTTGCACTGCACATGATAATTTTTTGGTGTAAATCTGACACTTGAAAAACTTGTACCAAACACAAGAAATGACTTACACCAAACACGGCTTGCATCCCATGAAAATGAATTTTTTGTCCGACTCTGCCATTGATTTGATGTTTCCCCCATATTATTTATCCGCTTCAATCCTCCAACTTCTTGCAATCAGATGTAGTATCATTCTAATTGGAGGGTAAGTTGTTTATGAACATTCATACTAAAAACTAATTGCAGGGTCTATGATCAAATGCCCGAGCCAAGGTGGGTCATCTCTATGGGAAGCTGTGCAAATGGTGGTGGATATTACCATTACTCGTACTCTGTTGTTCGTGGTTGTGACAGGATTGTCCCAGTTGACATTTATGTTCCGGGTTGCCCGCCTACTGCCGAGGCCCTGCTTTACGGAATCCTCCAGCTGCAGAAGAAGATCAACAGGCGCAAGGATTTCCTTCATTGGTGGACCAAATGAGAACATTTTTACTTTATTCCCTGCCTGCTTTGTTTGCATACTTGTGGAAGAAGAATAAACCGGACTCTGCTAGCTTTTCTTAGGTAAAGTAACCATGTAAAGGATGAGACCTGTTTTAACCTCTTTGTATGTGAATGTTATTTCATATGAATATGTAAGGGACGATTTTCAGTGCTGCTTGGGCCAATTGCTTTAGGCTTGACTTGGAAAGTCGAGGAATAATTGCATTTGATGTAAACTTTTACACATCTGCTGTGTTTCACACGTCGTTTTTTTTTTTTATATATATTTTAACCTCCAATTGGGGGGGTAGTTCCGGTTTTATTAGTTGGTTGAGTCACTGTTGCATAGATGGAAAAAAGTTGAAATCTGGGTTTTTTTGCTGTCACTTGGATCCCAAACAGATCTTCTCTTAGATTTCTTGTTTCCGGAACCTGCGAATTTTGGCTTTTGTGACTGAAAATCCGCTTGTTTGTGTGGGTCTTGCTGTAACTGGTTTGTCTGGAAATACAAGTAGGCATATTTTTTTACTATGATGCATTTCGTGTCATTGCATGCCCGCCTTGCTTCTATTTGTCTAGACATGATCCAAGCATGTTTAATGTGGTCCATGCCCGTGTGATTTAGCACATTTCAAGATGAAACATGGAGCTGATGCTTTCCTTTTTATGAATTTCTCAACCCTAATGCCAAGCCAAATATCATAATAGGTTCGTGTTATTGCCTCGTCAATTATGCAAATGCGTTGTGTTTGGTCTATTTGTGGTGTGGACTGTGTACTCAAATTGTGGTGCAATTCTCCAACAGGATTCAGAATTTCTGCTGGTTCAAGGTGATATCGGGCAAGGCATGAATTCTTTGTCCGAATTTTTCATATCTCAATGTTCCAAGATTCCTTTTCACCTTCCGATCAGGTCAGGTAGACCTATCTTGTAGTAATAAAATGGACAAGGGTGGTTGCAGATAGAAGATCCAAGCTCTATGTTTGGCACCAATTCCACTGTCACCCATCATCGCATGCCATCTACCATTACCATTTCTACAGATGCTGCTGCTCAGCCACTACTCTGACTCCAGACTGCCATATGTAACCAAGGGGTAGGGAGATAAGGGTACTTGCACCCATTGACTTTTGAAAATTTACATTTTTATATACGTAGTTATATAGCAAAATTATTTTGCAAATTTGTCCCACTAAACAAAAACCTGAACTGACCCTAATTATAATCACCACTACCACTGGTATCTAATGCTAATATTTTTGAATGTGCGTTTCAATTTTTTATTAGGTTAATTTATTTTAAGTTAGTTTGGATATTTTTTAATTTTTTTTGAATTAAAACATACAAAATATATTATATTAAACTATAATAGGAGGTGTCCCTTTTTTGGGTTTATTTTGAGATGCCCTAGGTCATGGCCTGGTGGGCCTTTGCCCAGGGCCGGCCTTGTTCTTGAGATTTGTTCTTCTTTTGCATACCATCATTTGTCTCAATGTTACTTTTACTCTCAGCCACTTATCTTCGGAGAAATTGTCATTTTTATTCGACCATATTTACTTAATATATTATACTAAACTATAATAGGAGGTGCCCCTTTTTTGGGTCTATTTTGAGGAGCCCTAGGTCATGACCTGGTGGCCCTATGCCCAGGGCCAGCCTTGTTCTTGAGATTTGTTCTTCTTTTGGGGACCATCATTTGTCTCAGTGTTACTCTTACTCTCAACCACTTATCTTCAGAGAAATTGTCATTTTTATTCGACCATATTTCCTCAACGGAGTTGTTATTCTTCCCCTGAGCTAGTAGCCTAACTGGTTGAGTTCTATTTTTTCCCATTGTGTTGTCATGTCGCCTAAAACTACATAACTCTACTAATCGATCTCTTCTTTTGCCTTTTGTGCTTTCTTGCCACCTAAAAAGGTCATGTATAAGATTGCCATCTCATTATAGCCCTGTTTGGCACAGCTTATCAAGACAACTTAGAGCTTAAGCTATTTTCAGTTTATTTTCCAAAGCAGCTCTGGGGGTGCTTAAGAAATTCGACTTATGCAGGCAGCTAGTAAGGGGGGATAAAATGACTTGAATGCCCCTCCTCAAATTCGATTATTACCAAATATCTCGTCTATAAACCACATTCTTCACTCTGAGAAAGAGAGAGAGAGAGAGAGAGAGAGAGGCGATTTCCGGCGAAGGTCTTAAGTTTTTGGCAAATGTTCTGTCTTTCTCACTCTCTCTCGATTGACCTTCTGCCGTTGCGATCACAACTGAGGGGCAAAACTCTAACCGTCGCGATCGATTTGAAACCCTAGAACCGCTAGTGACGATTTGAAACCCTAGCGTCGTCGATGATGATCTGAACCAAAGCTAGTTCTCTCTCTCTTCGGCGTGAACTAGAGCTAGCTCTGTGAGCTCTCTCTCTCTTTCGATCTGACAATGGAGGGCTGTTGGCTAGAATCCTAGTCGTGACAAATATCTCTCTCTCCGATGCTAGAGCTAGGTTTTCAATGTTTTTTTAATAAAAAAATAAAAATAAATAATAAATAAAAATAATAATAATAATAATAATAATAAATTGGTATATTTTGTAACAATTTTGTAATAAAAAATTAAAAAAATATAAATTGGTATTTGTAACAATTTTTAATAAATTAAGAAAATATCAATTAATATTCATGCATTCATAACCAAAATGAATATAATTTGAAAATCTTAATTGGTATTTTAGCATTTGTCAAAATTTTCTCATGATCAATCTCACCATGCATGCACTACTTCTAATTTGAAAAATAAACTAAAAACTAAAGAAAATAAAATAAAATGAAGAAAAAGAAAAAAAAAATTAAGAGAAGAAAAGAAAAAAAGAAAAGAAATAAGGAACAAAAAAATTAATTGTTAATTGTTAATATTAATTGATATTAATTAATAATTTTAGTATTAATTAAGACTAATTAGGCCATTAATTGATACTAATTAATAATTTTAGTATTAATTGATACTAATTAAGCAATTAATTGATACTAATTAATTTATAATGGAAAAAAATTGTTACAATAATACTTCCATTACATTTTATCAAATGTATCAATTTTTATATTAATTGATACTAATTAATAGTAACAAAAATGTTTCATGCCCCATTTTCCCCCACCCCTTTGACCCCCTCTTTCTCTCATTGGTTACATTTTCTTTTTCTTTTTTCTTTTTTTTCTGCTCCTCAATCACCACCCACCACGTGTCTGTGGGGGTTGTGGGGGTGATGATTAGAGGAGGTCTCTATCATGACTCTTAATAGTAATTATATTAACTTTTATTAATGAAATAATTTTTTAAAATTAAAATTGAAAAAAAAATGACAAAATTATCATTTTTATATCATATAAGAGCAAAAAGGATAATTATACTGTAAAAAGCTATTTTACGGCTTATCAACTAAACATTACTCTGCTGCTTAAATTCATAATCTCATAATTGCACCAAACAGGTTGACATCTTATATTCATAGTTATAAGTTGTAATCTGTTAAGTTATAATTTATAATTACTTTCTTACAACTCTACCAAACATGGTCTATATCGCACACTTTCATCGCTCACTTTTTATATGGTATAATGATTTTTCTTAAAATACCAATACTTACATTTACGTGAAATATATATATATATATATATATAAATCAAATAATAAATTCAAAAGCTATTATTGACATGATTTTCATTTAGTCTCAACGTTTGGTTAAGCTAAATATTATCACCTTTTTATTACATATCAACTTGGAGAATTTTAAAATACATAACTTAAAAATATATTAAATAAAATTAAAAAGCAATAAATTGGAAAAAAATCACTTTGTTTGTTTTTGATTTCTAAAATATTTTCAGAAAATTCTACTTTATTATTTTCTTTATTTTTTTTTATAGATTTTTTTAATATTTTAAATATTTTTAATTTTTAGACACACCTAACATAAAATACATATTAAAGTATAATTTTTGTGAAAATCTTTTAAAAATCACTAACATTCTCAAAAAATATAAAAAAATACGAAAATTCAACATATTTGATTAGTATTATATATTTATTAATTTTTTAAATATTTTTTCATTAATTTTTACTTTTTAGATATATCTAAGTAAGATATATCTAAAGAAGTAAAAAAAAAAAAAAAAAAAAAAATATTTTAAATTTTTAAAAATATTCACAAAAAATACAAAATAAAAATTAATTTTCAAAAAAACTTAATTCAAAAAAACTTAAACTAACACACCACAATATTATTCTCTCCATCCCTAAACCATCCTATAAAATATGAGAACAATTAAAAAGAAAAAATATTTTATATAATGATACTGCATGTAATCACAGTTACGTGTGTATATTATTTTACTACTTAGGCTCCTTCGAGAACATGTTATTTAGTAATTTTTTTTAGTATTAGTTAAAATATGAACTAAAAAAAAATAATATATTTAGATAATTTTTAACTTTTTTACAAAAATATGTGCAAAAAGTAAAGAGAAAAGAAAATCTTTGACTTTTTGGTTGAATTATTGATTTTGACTAACACAATCTGTTGACAACACGCTTATTATCATGTCGTTATAATGAAAACTCGTTAAATCCCTCTACGCTCACTATAAAATAATATTATTTTCAAACTATATAATAAAATTATTATCTTATTTTTATACATAAAAAAATAATGAAATAAGGTCTTGTTTATTTGGATTATAGGAAGTGATTGAGATATTAATTTCTTGGTATTATTAATGGGGCGTTTATTTTGAGAGATGGGAGGGAACTATTAATCCTTAATATGTAGTTCCCTTAGAAGGGAGATTGTAAGGAAGAGATAGAAGATGATATAGAAAAATAGTGATGGCGATTAAATTTTTTTTTTTTTACACATTGAGAATTTTTTTAAATATAATGTTTAATATTTAATATTTTTTTATTAATTTTATTATTTTATATAAAAATAATTTAACAATTCTTCACTATCAAATCCTTCACTATGAATCCCTTCCATTATATTTTCTGAAAAACAAACCGACAAAAGAATATGTTAATCATATTATTAATTTTGATGATGTCTAAATATATTAGTTAATATACATATTATTTGACACAAATATTATCTTTTTTAAAAAATATATATATTTGTAATATTATTTAAATAAAAAATATTATCTTTTTTAAAATATATATGTTAAATATTATTTTAATATTTTCAAAAACTTTACTATTCACTTTTTGAAAAATAGGGTAATTACTATTCATCTTTTGACAAACGATTATTATATTTATTTTGACAAAATGATTATTTTAAATTTTCAAAAAACTTACTATTCACTTTTTGAAAAAATAGGGTTAATTACTATTCATCTTTGACAAAAATGATTAATTTATATTATTTGACAAAAATGATTGATTGGTTGTATATTTTGACAAATTTGATATTTATGGTTGTCTTATTTTGACAAAAATTAATATATGTGGTAAAAATACATTAGTTTAAAATCTTTACAACATATACAATATTTTAAAGGTGACATATATTTTCAGATCCATCATAAATATTATTTATTTAGAGATTTTTCTGTATGCAAATTTTGATCAAGAACTGTAATATAACATTAATGCAGATAATCACGTGCGCTATTAAATTTTTTACACTATACTTAATTAGTATCATATTATAATCAAACAAGAAGAAAAAGATGGAGTTATATGTGTGTATATATATATATTATAAACTAGATGGAGAAAATTATTTGTTTGTTTGAAAGTTGTGAACTTTGTATTAAATTGTCTACAAAAACGGTGGCTCCATGTTTGAAAAAAACAAGAAGAAAAAATCAATCTTATTTTTATCTTTTTAATTCTTATCATTTGCTGACTATTTAAATTTAAGGAGTGTGCTTATGTAAGCAATGACATCAAGAGCCTGCTTATGTAAGCGATGACATCAGGAGCGTGCTTATGTAAGCGATGACGTCAGGAGCGTGCTTATGTAAGCCATGACGTCAGGAGCGTGCTTATGTAAGCCATGACGTCAGGAGCGTGCTTATGTAAGCCATGACGTCAGGAGCGTGCTTATGTAAGCCATGACGTCAGGAGCGTGCTTATGTAAGCCATGACGTCAGGAGCGTGCTTATGTAAGCCATGACGTCAGGAGCGTGCTTATGTAAGCCATGACGTCAGCAAGGAGCGTCCAACGGGTATATTTTTGTGTATAAATAGAAGTGTTGGATGTGGAGAAAAACCAAGAACTTGAAGAGAAAATATTTCTGTGAGCTCCAAAATTCTGAGTATTCTGCTCTTTCACTTTCAGATCTAAGTCTAGCTTTTGTTCTTATACTTTCATATCTACTCTTTGTGAGAGAATTATTGTAAAAGTGAGTTCAATTACCACTTATTCTTATTCCTTATTTTTGTGAGAAAGGGTAAGGCATTTATTGTTGAGTGAGGCTCAATAGATAAGAGTAAGTCCTGTGCCAAATCCACAAGCTTGGTGGTGTATTTATTCAATTGATAGTAAAGAAATTCTCAAGGAGGTTCCTTGGGGAGTGGACGTAGGCCTGGCGTGCCGAACCACTATAAATCGCAGTGTTTGATTTTCTCTCTCTATCTCTTCTACTTTTATATTGATAATTATTATTCTGTTTTTATTTATTTATTAAAATTCTGAATATTGTGTTATTTTTAATATTGTAAAATTTTTAATAACCCAATTCACCCCCCCTCTTGGGTTGCCTATCTGGGATAACAGAATACATCACATCACCTCAATCCCATGTCATAATCATTACCTAAAATATTTTCACTTAGAAGAATATTTTTTAACAAAAGCCACTATCTTAAGATAAAAAAAAAATAATAATAAAATAAAGTAAATTTATTGGAATAATTTTTTTTTAAATTTTACGGGTCGGGTCCGCATCGTCTGTAAAACCCACCCCCCCACCAGTTTCTAACCCTCGACGCTTCTCTTCTTATCTAGGGTTTTCACAACTCTCTCTCTCTCTCTCTCTCTCTTGATTCAAGGTGAGCTTCGACCATCACTCGAACAACCATGGCCGATGAGGTACAGTATTCATCTAGTACAGACTCAACCCCCAAAAAGCGCAAGTACGATGACCAGACGACTCCGCCGTCCTCCGGCGGCGCACGGCGGACCACCGGTTTCTCAGCTCCGATCGCGTCTCAGTCGCCGGATTCAGGAAACGCGCCTCCTTCGTACAACAGCGTTCCTCCACCTGTTGATGACATCCAGCTAGCGAAGCAGCGCGCGCAGGAGATTGCTGCGCGTCTCTTCAACAACGCTGAAGCGAAGCGACCTAGGGTTGAGAATGGTTCGGGATTTGATTCCAGCGATATTAAGGGTTTCAGCTATGGTTCTACTGGTTTGTCCCCCTTTCTCTGTAGTTGAATGATGTTTGTTTTGTGCTTTCGATTTGACTATATGAAGCTTCTTAATCTCCATTGGTGATAGATTCTTGAGTTTCTTGTACATCTGTGTGCCCACCAGGTTGATTTTGACGTTACAAAATCACTTTTTTTGGGGTTATTTTGTTTCATTTTGTTTTAATTATGAAATTAGTATCAAAGATAAGCCATTCAACTCATTTTTTAAATAAAAATTGCTTTTTTTTTTTATTTGAAGAATTTATGCTAATCTTTTCTGTATTGTTCTAGTTAAGTGATTATTCGTTGATTGATTGGTTAGTTTTTGTGTATTGAGTCAGTTTTTATTTGATTTATGGCTGTCTTGTGTTTCTGGATGCCCATTAGTTAAGTTAACCAATGTACTTAGCCTTCTGAGATTTGATTAAATGCAGATGCTGTGCAGAAGCCTATGATTTCGAATGTAACTCACGCATCGATTCCAGTTTCATACGGGTACCCGGGAACAAGCAAAAAGGTTGATATTCCGAATGGCAGGGTTGGTGTGATTATTGGGAAAGGTGGAGAAACCATAAAGTATCTTCAGCTTCAATCTGGAGCTAAGATTCAAGTCACAAGGGACATGGATGCAGACCCAAATTCCCTAACTCGGATGGTTGAACTTATGGGTACTCCAGATCAAATAGCGAAGGCTGAGCAATTGATACATGATGTTCTTTCTGAGGTACTGTGGTGCAGTTGTAAATTCTAATGTAATAGGGAATTACTTGTTTCTTGTGTCTACTTGTTTTTCTTACAGCATTGAATTTTTCATCAGAGATCTAGTGTTTGAAGAAATAGGCAATGAATTGTTGCTGTTGTGATGTATCTGTAAAGTGATCAATTCAACTGTTAAATTGCTGTTCTTTTTTATGTTTGAGACAGGCTGAAGCAGGGGGTTCTGGATTAGCTTCTCGGAGGGTTACTGGACAACTACCTGGTGCTGAGCAATTTGTAATGAAAATCCCAAACAACAAGGTAAATGAAAGCCTATTATGGTAATCTAGCTAATTGTCTTTGTCAAAGGAACTCTCTGGATGGACTATATTTTGATTCCTGTCTGTTTTCAGGTTGGTCTGGTAATTGGTAAAGGAGGTGAGACCATTAAAAATATGCAAGCCAGGTCAGGTGCTCGTATTCAGGTACGCTGTTGAATGGGCCATAGCCTTCTTTGCTTAACTCTGTTATTGTTGATTTGGTTTCATTTTGTGTCAGGCTTCTTTTTGTTCATTTAGTGTGTATTTAGTTTCTTTAGTCTCATGACACTTTTGTTTGTCTCTTGTCATGTAAAATGTGGTCTATACGTTTTGTTTTTGAATATATGTAATTTGACATTTCATTATGGTTTCTGATGATGCTGTTTGATTAATTTCGTGCAGGTGATTCCTCTGCACCTTCCCCCAGGTGACACTTCAGCAGAGCGAACATTACAGATAGATGGGACCAGTGAACAGATTGAGGCTGCAAAACAGTTGGTGGCCGAAGTTACCAGTGAGGTATGCTTGATTGTTGTATAATCTTGCAGATTTGGTCTAATCAACCATGAGCCTGCACTTCAACTGAAGTAGTCAATTATAGTTGTAAAGAGAAACTAGATTGTTGAGATATCATCGCATTATGCTTTGCTGCATTCCATCTTTGCTATTTGTTAATATGAACACAGGAAATGGAAGCTTGGACGTTGTTTCAGGATGCATATAATTAGATTCTTGCTGCATCAGTATGCTCTAATTTTGTGTGCCCTTTGAACACTCTGCTTCCTTGATTGGTGATGCTATAATTTTCTGTTTAGTCTTCAAATTTTTTTAAGAATTTAGTTACATGATGTCCTGCGGAAGTTATCTCTTGGTGTCCATTATTTCCCAGTCAAAAGTTTATCTTCGAGCAATTTCTTCGAGGGATATCTTAGAAGTGGCTACACGTTTTAAAATGGTCATCAATCCTCATATTGTGCAGATGCAACATGCTATTTGTGGCAGGGTATAAAGGTTTATATTGAAACCTGGGCGATTGTTGTTCCAAGAAATTCTCTCTCTCTCTGTCTCTGTCTTTGTCTCTCTCTTTTCCCCCTTCTTTCCACGTTCTTTTTGGTGGTTTTATTTCTTTTTGTATAGATAATAATAGTTTGTCTTTGGCAAGGTTGTTAAGATCGCAATCTGGATCGTAGGATCATACGATTCTATGATCCCAAATATAGCATTCGATCCGACTCGTATTTTGGATCGTGCCCATGTAAGGATCGTGGTGGGATCGGTAGGATCGTAACAAGATTGCGATTCCATGCGATCCTGTTTAATAGGGATTTTTTTGCTGCCTTTAAGTCAAAACAGCCCTTTGTTGGACAAAGGAAGGACAAAAAATGACCCTCTGAGCTGCGATTAGGGCAAGAGAAATTGGGGAGAGAGACATTGGACATCAAACTTCAGATTTTGTGTGACTACCAACCAGGTATGCTCCTTTTCTGTCTTCTTCTTCGCTGCTCTTCTTTTTCTTCGAATCGTCCTTTTCTGTCTTCTTCTTCTTCTTCGGCTTTTCTCTGCTTCGAATATTCCTTCTGCCTTCGACTTCTTTTTCTTCCCTTCAAGTTCTGCGTCTGTTTGATATATTATGTATATAATATTTATATATATATACATATATATTTATTTGTGTGAATGAAAACCAAAAAACATTTTTTTTCTAATCACTTTTTTTAGTATTATATATATATATATTCATACATATATGATTAATGTTGATTGTAACAATGATGATAATTTCGGCGACTACGACGACTTATTTTTGTTTTTATTTGTTCTACTCTTATTTAGTTTGTCTTCTTTTCATTAAGAAACAATGACAATGGTGTGCAAGTGCTATTATTTTTTTTAATTATGTTTTCGACTTCTTTTTTTGAGAAAAAATATTTGAATGCTACCTTTAATATATATATATATATTTTTTTTGAGTGATTTTATATTCATTTTGATAGTATTACTTAGTTATATAAAAATTATTGCATTTTTTAATCATTTTAGTAGAATCTTACGATCCTCGATCCGAGCTTATGATCCGATCCGGTAGACTCCAAAAACGATTTTGTGTAGGATCCCGATCTTAACAACCTTGGTCTTTGGTCTTTTGTTTTAAGGTTTGTAGCATGGGGCTTCTTTCGTATTGTGTTTCTACATCATATTACTACTTTTGCAATGGATACTCTTGTGTGCTTACCTCCGCACAATATGGTGGGGCTGTTTTAAGTTATCTGATCCCCATAATGATCTATATATATATATATTTTTAACAGATATTAGCTTTGTTTATCCTATTTTTTTGGGGGATCTTATAGTGTGTGTATGTGTTTTTTTTTTTTTTTTTTTTTTTTTTTTTTTTTTTTGCATTGTGTTTTTATTTTATACCTGTGACTCTTTTCACTGGTTTACCTCGAAAGAGTATATTGTGGTGAATCACCGGAACCCCTTCATATAGATTCTGGCTTGTGTGGTTCCTGTTTTTTGAATTTCTTCTTTTCATATATAAGAATCCAAGGGAATGTTAAATATTTTTGTTCTACATGAATATGCTACATTTGGATGCACAGGAGGGTGAGTGAACGGAATGGGAGGAGAGGTATATTTCTTTTTGTTTGGTTAGATGATACTTATAAAGGAAAGGGAGGAGCAGAAGTCAAATTAGTAGCATTTAAAAAAAATGAGGAGTATACTTGGTTTTAAAAGTATATTAATAACCAGCATTTCACTTTCCCTGTGTCCTTTGAATTTTTGAGGGGAAGTAAAGCGCTCAAATTGCAGTCCCTCTTTCCCCTTTCAACCCTTTTGTATATTTTCCTTCCCCCTTAAAAACCATCCAAAGTAATGTTACCCTTCCCCTCCATATCCTTCGCTTCCTTCTCAAATCCTCCAATCCAAGCACAATTATTATTAATTGCTGTTATCAGTGGGCTTTTTTAAAGGAATAGGCGCATGCCTATTCTAATACTTAAACTCTTGTTTCCCTCTTTATATTTAGTGTTTTTTATCATCAATTTCTTCATCTAGCTTTGGTATATAATGCTTGTGTTTGTTATCGAATTAGATTCTAGCTATAATAACTTTTTACTCCTTAGAAATTGTTATTTCATGTGTTTGCAGTCACAACCTAGTAGTAATGTATGGGATATATATCTTGTGGTGTATTTGTGGTGTTTTGTTTCTATCTTTGTCTCGTGTGTTGCGTGTGAAGTAGACATCATCTTGATTCCTTATCGAAACAGATTTCTGTAGACATTTTTTTCTTATTTAGTAATTTCGACTGCTTAATTCCATAGAGAGCTTAAGCGGTTATTTTTGCAAATCCTTGTGGTTGCATATAAATATAAATATACATATATCGCTGTCAATTGGTTTTCTTCCCTGTATTCCATTTGTGAAATGCTGAAGATTGCTGAAAAATATGCATGTTTGGGTTGGTTGAAAATTATTTCTAGTGTCAAAATGACTACTGGGTGGAGGAATTGGGCCTCCGCTAATTATTATTTCTTGGTGGGAGAGACTCCATAACTTATGAATTGAGTATTCTACTTCTTACTAGTTGTGAAATAGGACCTGGTAGCACGGTAATTTGCATTTCAATATCCTTATATGTCTTCTTGATGGTTGGAGTTGCGTCTCTCTGTAGACTCTGCAGGATCATTACACTTGGTCGCCAACAGGTTCATTTCTATTTGCAGTTGGTTTCAATAAAATCTTACATAACTGGCTGGTGTATGAGAATTTGGAGTATGTCAGAAGCAAAAGTTGGTTTTGAATTGTCACACTTAAATTATGGGGACAATTATTGATCTTTCAGATGTGCCTTAAGTGCTATATTGATCATTGGATATATTTAGGCCCCGTTTGGGGACTTACTTTTTTAGCCAATTAGCCAAAAAGTTACTAAATTAGCCAAAAAGCCAACAACTCATACCAAAAAGTCTTCATTTCTATTTGCAGTTGGTTTCAATAAAATCTTACATAACTGGCTGGTGTATGAGAATTTGGAGTATGTCAGAAGCAAAAGTTGGTTTTGAATTGTCACACTTAAATTATGGGGACAATTATTGATCTTTCAGATGTGCCTTAAGTGCTATATTGATCATTGGATATATAAGTATACGAGGCAGGCTTTAAATTATCATTTTCTGATGTGGCAATTGGGTATAAGTGAATATTATTGAGGATACATCTGAATCAATTTATCTATATGGCCCTCCTGTTGAATCTTCAAGTGAATAACTTTTGGGATAGTCAATTGTTATAGCCTCGTGTTCTTCTTTGATGTGTATCTTTTTCTGATACTGTTATTGGGAACTATTGTAGGGTTAGTGGTTATTGGAGTACACCAACATGGAATCTTTAGTAGTGTTGGTGTTTCCACGGCATTGTTCTGGTATGGTTCTAAACCTTCTTTTTAATAAAAATATGCCAGTTGATGGAGGGAAGTTTGGGCCTTATGGTTGATGTGGAGGTTCAACTGGATTGTTTTGAGAGTGGACCATGAGCCCTTCAGGATAATTTATGTGCAGTGTTCATTTAAGACGGCTGTGCATTTCATAGATATGTCTTTAGAACATTTAAGTTCCCATATCTGCTTAAATATTCAAAATAAATACATGCAAGTACCTATAGCAATTTAGGTATTTTTTATGTAGTTTGATTTAATGCTGAACTTGGTGAAAAGTTTATCAATCTTATTGTCTTTTGGTATAATTTGTCTAATGCTTTGAATAATCTTTTAGTGCTTCCTTCACTGTGAAACACTTTAAACTGCTTGAAAGCTTACAGTTATATTACTGTTGTTTGTTTGCTTCCTGAGAATTTGTTCATCTGGTGATCAGATTTGCAGTTAGTTTAATTTGGACTTGGTGTAATTTCTGTATCCTTTCCTCATATATTTTGCCCATATCAGTCTTTATTGGAAGGTCAACTGTTGGAAGGACTTATATTTTGATGCTTGTACATGTCTAACTTTTCTTTTTACCCAGGCACCCAGGTAGTTGATTTTTCTAGTTGTCAATTGATAGATCTGACATTTTAGCCTGCAATGAACATGTGAAACAACAGCTTCCTGGTGTTTTTCTATTCTTGGTCTAGCTTGGAAGTTAAGTGTTCTTATGGTGCATTTGTGGTAGACTTGTACTGTTTATCATCTGGAAAATGTCTCTTTAGAATTGGTGGATGGGCACTTGATAGGAAGTTGAGAAAGCGGTATGCCTTAAATATCGAAGATGGGTGAATAAGCTCTTCATTTGAACATATGTTAAGTAGTCTGGCGCCTGCTTATATTTATGTTCCCATGTACTCACTTTTTTAGTTTAAAGGGTGTTTTTACACTATTTGGTTAACTGCTCCTTCACATTGTGTTAGTTCTAACCAATAGATGATTGGACATTTTTGGTTTATGGGATATCGTTTAATATGATGATAAATATATGACAGCATGGTAATAGTTAACTATTTTGGGTAGTAGTTCTGTTCACTTGTTGGATCAGTTACATATTACATTGAGCTTCTTTTCCTTGTGCAATGCATCAACTAGATGTTCAGCTAGATATATCTTTGGTATAGCAGTAGACTGTGAAACCTGTTGCCTCTTCTTGGCAATGGGGGGTTTGTTATATGTGCTTTAATGTGAAAACTTGTATAGTTTTTGCAATTTGTTTTTGTACCCATTCACTTTCGAATAGGGAGAGGATGGGCTTCTGCGGGAATAACTCGATATTACAACCGACCAGTACGGTATGTAGGCGCCCAAACCCCTCTTGATATACAAATATGCTTATGCATTGTGTATTCTTAAATTGTGGTATTAATCTCTATCATATATGTGTTGTTTTTGTTAATTTCTAGGCATGTTCCTTTCCTGTTGTCCATAAATATGCGTATTCCATTTTTCCACCTGTCTAAATTTTTGGGCATACATTGTGTCAGGTTTACATTGTTCATATGAAATAACGATTTTGTGCAGAATCGACTTAGAAATCCATCAATGACTGGAGGATATTCTCAGCAAGGTTACCAAGCACGTCCACCGACTAGCTGGGCTCCTCCTGGTCCTCCAATGCAGCAACAACCTGGTTATGGTTACATGCAGCCTGGAGCATATCCTAGCCCGACCCCACAATACAACATGTCTCAGCCACAATACCCTGGTTATCCTTCTCAAGCAGCATCGGGTGGTTATGCTACTGGTTGGGACCAGACAACTGGTGCACCTAATCAGCAGACGGCTCAGGGAGGCACTTACGATTACTATAGCCAGCAGACTCAGCAGCAGCAAGCCCCTGGTGGGAGCGCAGCACCTACAGATAATACCAGTTATGGTTATGGCCAGCCACCAGCTTCCGGCTATAGTCAACAAGGTTATACTCAGGATGGCTACGGTGGATATGCACCCGCTCCACAAACTGGGTATGGTCAGCCCCAGTCAACTCCTGTTCAGGGGTATGATCAACAGCAAGGTTATACTTCGACTCCTGGTTATGGTAATGTGACCAACCCAACCTCAGAGGGGCAAACACCTTCTTATGGAGGAGCTCAGGCTGATACCACCCAAGCCCCTCCACCTGTCCAGTCACAGCAAGGGTACAACACGACTCAGCCGCCCAACACTAACCCTGCTAGTTATCCAACTCAAGGATCTACCCAGCCAGGTTATGGAGTCCCCACTTCCCAGTCTGGTTATGGGACTCAACCAGCTTCTGGATATGGGCCCAACTATGGTCCACCTCAGGCTCAAAAACCTCCCGCTGGTCAGGCAGCTTATGGGCAGCAGCCCCAACAGTCACCCGGTGCCCAAGGTGGCTATGTTCAGTCTGGATATCCTCAGTCTCAGCCCCCACCAGCCGCTCAAGCAGGTGGTTATGCTCAGCCAGATTCTGGTGCCCAGCGGGCTCCGCCCTCTGGTTATGGCGCTTCAGCAGCTCAACCAGGGTATGGCGCCCCACCTTATGGTGCACCTCCAGTGACTCAACCAGGGTATGGGCAGCAGCAGCTGCCATACAACAGCTCTTACGGTGGTGGTTATTCTCAGCCACCGGCTTATTCTGCTGATGGAGCACCAACTTCTCAGGCTGTTCAGCCTGGTGGGGTTGCCAAAGCTTCACCCAAAAGTTGAGATGTGTGGTGAGTGGATGGATTGTGGTTAAAACAACATATGCTCTCATTTTGGTGCTTAATTGGGGTTTGTGTAATAGGATTTTACTTAGTTTCAGTCAGGTTTTGTAGTTGTATTAGACCTAAATACAATTTGAGGATGAATTTGAGTTGTCTGTTATGGATGGTTAATTGTTGGTCTGGTTTGGACAAATGCTTTTAGGTGTTTTGTATTTATGTTATCTTTCTGCCTTGCTGCGCTGTTTAGATTGTGTGGTCTTAATCTTTCTTTTTTATGGTCATTATCAGCTGTTACTTTCCTTTGTCTGAATGAAATTCGGGTTTTCAAAATATAATTTCAAATCCAAGTCATAAGAGCATGGGTTTGACAATATATTTTGAAAAAGCACGAGTTTGAAATATGTTTTCAAATGTCTAGGAGGTGACAATGATGAATGTTATCCAACATGGAGACCAGAAAAATGTACAGGGTATGGAGAAGCCCCACATCCATCATTGAGGACACTAGTTTTGTTTTTCTAGAAATTTTTTTTTTCTTCGTGAAATCGCGAGCTTTAATCAGTCTTGATGGTGGAATCTCTCTCTCGAGCATGGAAATGCAGTAATAAAGAGTGCATTCTCAGGAAGCTCTTACCAACTTAAAAACAGTTTTAGGGCTTTTGTTGCAAGGTCAAACTATTGACGCCTTGTATTACTGAAAGCAGTATCAATATTCGTGTTTGAGGAATTATATCCCACTGTTAAAATATTGATTCTCTTCTTATATTTGTGAAATTACATCCCATTTCTTAAGATTTCTAATTACTCTTTCCGTTCCAAAATAATGGTCTTTTTTGGGGAATCTAATTTTTGCAACCTTGGTGAATGATGGGAACAGTAAAGTACCAAGGGAATTTCCTAGGGTGGTTTGTGAATATTTAGATGTTTTTCTTGAGGACCTTACTGAACTATCACCTCATCGGGAGGTCAAGTTTTCTATACACCTAGTGCCGAGGCCATCATGTCCCCTTATCGATTTGCTCCAGTAGAGTTGCTTGTTTTGAAGGAGCAATTTTAAGAATTGTTAGACAAGGGTTTTATACACCCTAATACTTCGTCCTGGGAAGCACCGGCTCTCTTTGCGAAGAAGAATGGTGGTTTCTTGCTGCTATGCATTGATTACCGTAAGCTGAACATAGTCTCGGTCAAGAACAAGTATCCGTTGCTTAGAATATATATTTCTATATGCATATATGCATAGTGCGAGCACCAAAGATTGATTCAGATTTGTATCATCATTATCATCAAAATCAAAATGAGTAACAGAATCAGCAGATCCAATTAATGGACGTGGAGATCGACGATAGAAGGTCTTCCAGATCTCTGCGTCAGCGGCGGAGTCATGCCGGCGACGGGACTAACTTGAACAAGGGTTATTTTCATCATCATCATCATCATCAAGGACTGACTTGAACATATCTACCTCTTTCAGGGCCTTATTAGAAACCCTCCCATCACTACTATTCAACTGTGAGATTTCAAGAGGACATGAAAGAACAAGGAAAGAACAAAACAGAATCAAAGCTCTCGTCCCTTCTCTCTCTCTCTAACCCTCCCCAGGAACTAAGTGAAAGTGAAACCCATAAATTTGATTTTGATTTTGATTTTGATTTTGATTTATTTATTATTTATTTATTTTTAATTTTTCTCACCAAAATGACGTCGTTTTGGTGAGGAATTGATCTCAACCCTTATTTCCATTAGTGGGACACCCGTCGGGCCCATCTCATTTACTGTAAGAGATCACTCTAGTGGGATCACTCGAGGATCCTAACGAGAAAATGTCATGATTGTTAGTTTCATTCAACTTAAAACTGTGTTGCTTTTGAAAATAAAATTTATGAGATTGTGAAAGGGAGGCTTCAGTTCCAAGGAAAGCTGAAAAGGCTATTTTGCAAAAGTCCATAAAATGAATGTTAATGTGCTAGATTGTTGGGTGTTTTGGGAATTTCCAAAAAGGTTAGCGCTTTTTAGTCTTTTTTACACAAAAAAAAGTCAATTTTTTTAACATAAAAAGGCTAAAAAGTTACAAAAAGTTAAAAAACTAATTTTTTACTAACTTTTCAAAACACCACTGAATCAACTTGGAGAGGACAAGAGGATAACTAGTCGAAGGCAAAGAAAAACAGGTGCCTTCAAGAGAGCAAGATTGGAGGAGGGAAAATTTGAGGAAACCGCTCTATTTGGATATCCGGGTAGGGATTTAAAATGGAAAAGAAAAAAAGTGTATAAAATGTATTCCATTTAAATTTCATCTACATTTTCTGTCCTTTCTTTCTTTTTATTATTTTTATTTTTTTTTTATTTTTAAATTTCTACAAAAATTCATAATCCCAACACTGTCTAAGGACCAAATGTTTAAGTTTAACCTTCTAACTTAAACATGAGTCAGTTTCATTATGTTTATTCTTCGGTGCATGGAGTACCTGATTAGTTTGTAATACAAACCAAGGCTAAGATGACTCCAGTGAATGGAGAGGCCAGTAGCTCTTCAGACAGGTCTAAGATGATCAAACTTCTTTAGGTTGCCAAGAATTCCACTTAGGTTTTGTTTGGAAAGTGGGTCGGTGATTTGAGTTTTTGATTTTTTTGATTATTTTAGTTTGGGGTTAAAAAGTTTGTTTAGGTTGAGCTGTTTGAGTTTTTTGACTTTTGATACTAATTTAACCAAAAAACTAAATTAGCCTACATACCAAACGAAGGCTTGAAATGTTGTCATCCCGAGCCAAATTTCTGGCTCAACTATTATGTGAATGGGGCACAAAATGGCCCATGTAATGTATAACGGGCACCGATACACATATATATAGGGGTTCAATTCAAGCGAGTTCAAGTAGGTTGAGAAGTTGTCAAAGCCTAACCCAAGTTATGCTGAGAGTTACCCAGACCTACCCAAACTTAGGCTGCGTTTGGGAAGTTGGGTTTGGGCTAAATTAGCCACTAAATGACAAAAGTGGCTAATTTAGCCACAAACGGACAAAAGAAAGTTGGGAGCATGGCTGCAACAATTTGGGAAGTAAATTTACCATACTACCCCACATGAAAGAGGGGCAGCGTCAGCCCACAAAAAGTATAAATTTAAACTATATTTTATAAAAAAAAATTTTAATTTTTTTTTTTTTTGGTTATGTATTTGGTTATGATTTAAGTGTAGAGTTGTGAAAGTAGTATGGAATTTCAAGTTATGTGTTTGGTTATGAGTTACCTCAATAATTTATGAATTGAGTTTCATTTTATGTGTTTGGTTACGACTTGAGTGTAGAGTTGTTTTTAAATTTAAAATATTAACATTTTAAATTATTTAAATTTCGAGTTATGTATTTGGTTATGATTTGAGTGGAGAGTTGTGAAAGTAGTATGGAATTTCAAGTTATGTGTTTGGTTATGAGTTACCTCAATAATTTATGAATTGAGTTTCATTTTATGTGTTTGGTTACGACTTGAGTGTAGAGTTGTTTTTAAATTTAAAATATTAACATTTTAAATTATTTAAATTTCGACTTATGTATTTGGTTATGATTTGAGTGTAGAGTTATGAAAGTAGTATGGAGTTTCGAATTATGTGTTTGGTTATGAGTTTTCAAAATAATTTCTTAATAAAGTTTTGTTTTACATGTGTAGTTACGATTTGAGTGCAGAGTTGTTTTTAAATTTAAAATATTAACATTTTAAATTATTTAAATTTCGAGTTATGTATTTGGTTATGATTTGAGTGTAGAGTTATGAAAGTAGTATGAAGTTTCAAATTATGTGTTTGGTTATGAGTTTTAAAAATAAT